TGTTTTTTCATTGCTCTGGCATGTCAATGCACAACAACCTATCCCATTAGTTTTCAATGGGAAGCTTTTATGCAAAAGAATCCAGCGAACACAGTGACTGTGTTGGAAATAGCCTCCTACATGCTACTTGTGTACTGACTCTGAAGCTGACGTTGTTAAAGTTTATTTGTGGCTTTGGAGATGAGTAGATAACAAAATTCATACAAACATGATCTGCATGGAAAAGTCATCCGAAGGAAACATTATCTGTGACCTCACCACAAAAGTCAACATCTGAAGTATGCAAAACAACATCTAGATAAACCAGAGGCATTTGGGTAACAAGTCCTATGGAGTGATGAAGTAAAAATGGCCACAATCACCGATGGCATGTTTGGAGAAAAAAGGAGCAGCATTTGATGAAAGGAACACCGTGCCAACTGTCAAGGATGGGGGTGGATCTGTTATGCTTTGGGGTTGTGTGGCAGCCAGTTGCACAGGAAACATTGCACAGATAGGTGGAAGAATGGATTCCAGTAAATATCAGCAAATATGACACATTCAGTCAAGAAACTGAAGCTGAAAAGATGCTGGCTAACAAGACAATGATCCAAAACACACATTAAAATCCACCATGAATTACTTCAGGAAATGCAAGCTGAAGCTTTTGAGGTGGCCCTCGCAGTCCTCTGACATGAGCAGTGAAAATCTGTGGGTAGATCCTAAAAATGCTGTGCATGCAAAAATATCGCAGAAATAGAGAGTTCTTTAAGGAAAAGTGTCTGAAACAAGAATTAAAAGACTCCTTGTAAGCTGTGATGTCTGCGTTTACATACGTCACAACTGCTGTTTTATTTTTTGTTCTATTTTTAAGTTAATCAAATATAAAATAAACATTTAACATCCAGAGAGGCTGTGTTTACCTCTTTTCACCTACAAACAAAATAGAGAATTTGGCCACAAACTTTTGCATTCTAGCGTAACGTAGTGCTCATGCAGCCTGTTCTTTTATTCCAGGAAGTGATAGTAATCTGAGGAATTTACAGTGTGTTTTTATTGCAGTGTTGACGTTTTATTGCCTTTAAGCTGTGATTAAATGGTCGTGATGGGAATCTCACAGTTCAGAAGTGAGCTGAGAGATCAACAGATGCAGAAACAGGGCTCCTGACAATAAATTAGTCTAAGGAGCCATTGGCTTCTAAAAGTGCCAATAGCCTTTTTAAGTGCCAAATAATAATAATAATGTGCATAAATACTAATAATTTTCAACACACCTCAGATCATCTCTGTGGTTTAAGTATCTCTGCATTCCACCGTGCCTGATTCTTGTCATACATATTATCAGACGTCTTTGACACATCTAATCCGTTTTTTTCATTAACAAGATTTGGGAGGTGAATTTAGTGAAGGGTCGTTCTTCAGGTGCTACCATGTAGGCTGTGAAGCAGTGGTGGACGAAGTACACAAGCCATGTAGCTGAGTTAAAGTAGAGAACATATTACTCCAGTAAAAGTAGAAGTTCCTCCCTTTAGACCTCCACTTGAGTAAAAGTAGAAAAGTATTTGCCTTCAAATGGACTTAAGTATCGAAAGTGAAAGTACTAAAAGATTAATTATGGCTCTGATGTCCTATTATCATTTTTGTAACAAGACTCGCTTCATTAACTCATTCTAGGTGAAAATACTCCAGTGTCTCTCTTGGTAAACCAGTCTTTTAATAGAGTGTCATTAATTAGTGACGCTGATGTCTATTAAAATTATCAAAAGCCCAAAACACTGAAGGCAAACAGTTTCCATCAGGTAGAACTGAGTGGCTCTGAAATCACTTTTTACTAACAAAGTTTACTAGCAAAGTTTCAGTTTAAGATTTATTTGTAACTTAGTTACAAGTTTAAGTTTAATAAAAACTTAGATTCACAAATGAGTTTCCTTTACTAAACTGCATCTGTAGGTCTCTGTTCATAAACATAAACCAGCCTAAACTAATTTACTATAAAATGAAATAGTGTTTGTATAAATTCAGAATAAAGACACGTCAGTCACAACTGCATATGAGTACATATTTCTATATTGTGGTCTATTTACACAAAGTTAGGTTAGTTCATCATTTATGTTGAATAGACTCTCCCAAAGTTTTACTCTGCTGCACTGATGTTGAACTGTGTGCTGCACTGGGTCGGTATGACCAACAGGTCAAAACAAGCTCAAAACTAAGTGACCGCTGTGCCCTGATTGGTGTTGTTGTTTTGCGCTTCTTTCGTTTTGACATGTTACGTTTTTATACACACATAAACCAAAAGGAGCGACAGATTTCTCAGAATGTAGTGGAGTAAAAAGTGAGATATTTGAAATGTAGTGGAGTGAAAGGGAAAAGTCACCCAAAATGGAAAAACTTCAGTAAAGTACAGATACACGAAAAAACTACTTAAGTACAGCAACGAATTACATTTACTTAGTTACTATGAAGTAAATTTTAAGCTTTTTGAATTCTTTCTCAGCTGTTTTTCTGCATGCACGAGACACTGCGCGGGCTGAGGAGTTTCCTTAGGAGCTCTCTTTGCGATATTGAAATTGCGTACGTTTTTATGTGTTCGACTCTTGTCGTGTTTTTTCACCGACTCTTTTTTCAAGTGATTCGTTCCTGTTAAGAAATTCATTTTCTAGCTATGTCTTTACTTGCTTTCTAACTGAATTTGCAATAAAGTCTATTTCATATTATCCTACCTGAGTCATGGAAATTCCTCGACCAAGAAGTTCTGAAATCTTTCTGTGGTTGTACTTTTGCATGAAGTGCCTGAAGTGGACAGTTGTTCAGGTACATCTTTGTGTGCATCTTTCACTGGTTCACTGGTCCTGAGTCAGACTGGGGTTGAGCAGATGACCTCTTAAGGTCTGACAGAGATGCAGATTGTGTGAAAAAATCTGATATTTTTTGCTTCGCCGTTTTCTACACGCCAGCGTTCACTGCAAAAAGCTCAGCTTGGCTTGACTCATTTGCTTTGTTTGTCACGTTTAGCCGCTCTGGCTGAAATCCCGCGAGCACGCAGGTGTTTTTTTGGTAGGTGGGTGCGTCTATGTGCTGCCATAGCCCATCAGTTACGTTGTAAGATGAAAAATGATAAAAGAAAATACATAAAAACAATAGCAATAATTAGTTGCCCATGAAAAATAATAATAATAATAATAAAGTTGCTACCTGTCGCCACTTGTGAGTTAATTAATTTTATTACTCCCAAATAAATAATTGTGGCCACAATTGCAAACATTTCAGACACAGTCTGGAGCCCTGAGAAATACACAGGAGACAGAGATTACAGGCTTGCAGTGCTGTGTGGAAGAGGTAAACACACGAGCAAACCGGCTAAATCTCTCATAGACACTTCACTGTTACTCTTTACCTGCTGTGAGTGCCGGTCAGTTCATTTACAGCTCGGGTTACTCAGGAAAAGTCAGTGCACATTTGGGCCGTGCAAAAAGCCTCTCAATGGGTCAGTAGCTCACACAGCAGAGCTCACTTTACCTTCCAGCTGTAGGGCTGGTCATACAGTAATGTCCAACAGTCAGAGACCACCCTTTATTCGTTTAATTTCCAGTCAAAATGACCATTAAATACAAGGTATTCATTTTTCAGAAGATATGTCTGAGGAGATTAGATCCGCTTGCGTAAGGAAGGAGAAAGACAGAGTGAAAAATAATTAAAAGCTACAGAGAAAATGTGGCTCCTAACAACCACCTGGAAGAGCTGTTGGACCCCAAAACTGCCCCCATCAGATAAACAGCACTTAAAGCTTTCATCTCTGAGAGAGAGGAGAAAATCAAGCTGCTTCAGATCTGAAAACATCCACAGGTGTTTCTGTCCATCCTTCCACTGTGAGAAGACGACTCAGCGCTGTGGGTCTGAAAGGATGTGTAGCTGATCAAGAACAACCTCACTGAGAAAAGGAGACGGACACATCAAACAAAGAAGCTGAACGATGGACTGACCACCCCAGAGTCCAGACCTCAACACCACTGAATGTGTTTGATTAGTTCAGAAAATGATCAACCAGCTTCTAAGACTGAACTTTCCTGAATAACTTCTCCTTAATGGCCGTTTTGACTGGAAATGAAATAAATGAAGGTTGACTGTTTCACAGTACTTTATGTAACACACTCTCAGAAATAAAGGTACTAAACTGTCGCTGGGTCAGGGCCCCTCTTGTCACTGGAGTGGAACCCTCATCTCAGTACCTTTAGTCAGGGAACCTAACTGAACCATAATCCACTGAAATGATATGTTCTAAGCTGTACTGACTCCACACACCCCGTCTCGTCTCCAGGCTTTTATTTTACAGTTCTGTTTTAAAACATTCGGTTATGAAAAGGTCCAAATACGAACTTTTCACCTGGAACAACTTATTTAAGGTTCACAATCAGACCTTAAAACCACTGTTGGAGCTTTGAGGGAACATTTACACTGTTTGAACCTTGATGAACAAAAATGTACCTGAACAGAACCTTTATTACTAACAGTGTATGTGGGGTATATTTTTATATATGGGTACTTACATACCCCACATTTTGACAGTGTTTTAAAGCAAACGTGTGTGTGGGGTTTGGAGGGTTGAGTGTGTGTGGGGGGGAGTGAGGGGGATGGTGGGTTAGCTGGATTGTGTTTACATTCTGAGTCATAAAGTGTTTGTTTAGCCTCGTGTGTTCCTTTTTGCAGTATTTAAGCTTTTCCCTTTCTTAACCCTTAAATGTTAATTGATCAAATGCAATAATTAACTGCAAACTTACACAATGAATTGTGTTTACATTTGATTTTCATTTTGTATCGACAGATTCTGCCTTTTGTCTCATTTGCTGCTAAAAACGATGAACAGATCATTTTCAAACCACTGTAAAATGTCTCCTCTGCTTCTTACAAACACAAATGTGGTGTAGATTGAAAGCTTAAAATCTGCTCTTTCCACAGTTTCTCCGCTTGTTTCAGTGAAAAATACGAGTCAGAAATAATTCATACGTATCTTTCTCTCGTAGTTGTGTACGAGCATCGGTCCAGACTGGAGAAGTCTTTGCAGAAAGAGCGCCTGGAGCACAAAAAAGCCAAAGAAGGTACGTTCTGCATTCTTAAAGCATGTGTCAGTAGTGCTGTGATTCGCTGCTGTTCGCTGATTTTACTGTTAAGACTTTACTGATGACAGGGAAGCATTTTCTGTTCTAGTTGTGTAATTATTAACTCGAAACCAGCTTTCAGAAGTTGTAAACCTGTTTTTCTGGTAATTCTGAGAAGAGCAGCTGGAAGGAAATATCAGACGTTTCGGAATTAGAATTGTTTTTATTGGCCAAGTGAGATAACAGCAGATCTTGGAAATAGCTCATATTGAGACGAACATAGTGACGAGTGAATAAATAGAATGTAGGAAGAGATAAAAGCATAAAATCATAAAGATTTACAGTTTTTTTTACTGTTCTTTGTCAGTTCAAAGACGCACCATGCCGACTGAATGACTATGTTGAATGTGATGTTTTCCTTTTAGTATACGTACAGTATGAACGCTGAAAATGCTCAGTGTGTGTACAGTACGTATGAATAGGTAAAGATATAGCAGATACACCGATCAGGCATAACATTCTGACCACCGCCTTGTTTCTACACTCATTGTCCATTTTATCAGCTCCACTTACTATATAGGTGCACTTTGTAGTTCTACAGTTACAGACTGTAGTCCATCTGTTTCTCTGATACTTTGTTAGCCCCCTTTTACCCTGTTCTTCAGTGGTCAGGACCCCCATGGACCCTCACAGAGCAGGTACTATTTGGGTGGTGGATCATTCTCAGCACTGCAGTAACACTGACGTGGTGGTGGTGTGTTAGTGTGTGTTGCGCTGGTCTGAGTGGATCAGACACAGCAGTGCTGCTGGAGTTTTTAAACACTGTGTCCACTCACTGTCCACTCTATTAGACCTATTAGACACTCCTACCTTGTCAGTACACCTTGTAGATGTAAAGTCAGAGACGATAGCTCATCTGCTGCTGCACAGTTTGTGTTGGTCATCCTCTAGTCCTTCATCAGTGGTCACAGGACGCTGCCCACAGGACGCTGTTGGCTGGATATTTTTGGTTGGTGGACTATTCTCAGTCCAGCAGCGACACTGAGGTGTTTAAAAACTCCAGCAGCACTGCTGTGTCTGATCCACTCAGACCAGCACAACACACACTAACACACCACCACCACGTCAGTGTTACTGCAGTGCTGAGAATGATCCACCACCCAAATAGTACCTGCTCTGTGAGGGTCCATGGGGGTCCTGACCACTGAAGAACAGGGTAAAAGGGGGCTAACAAAGTATCAGAGAAACAGATGGACTACAGTCTGTAACTGTAGAACTACAAAGTGCACCTATATAGTAAGTGGAGCTGATAAAATGGACAATGAGCGCAGAAACAAGGTGGTCAGAATGTTATCCCTGATCGGTGTATGAACAGTATTTGGGCTGAGTATCCAAATTAATTACTTTTATAGTACCAACCAAGTACCTGGATGAATCTGATGATTGAAAGAGAATTCAAAGAGAACTCGGTCTAAAATTGGTGAAGGACGCGTCTTCCGAGGACGTGAGTGAATTATCTACATTTGTCATATTTTCTTCAGTATAATTGCTGATTTTGAGATCATGACAAACTCCTGACCCGACGCCTCTGACCTTCAAATGATTATTTCAGGCTTTACAGGGCGACTCAGCAGGACACGCTAACCATATTTTAGTGTGTTTTTATGCTCCTCACTCAGCAACGACACTTCTTTCAGTTTTATCAAAACAAATCTTACATAGTGCAGCTTTAAAATAAGAATTAAAATATCTGGTTGTATACAGAGTTGCTGACTGAAGATTTGGAGGGAAGATGTTTGTTTGGGTGTAGTTTACCTGGTTTGAGTGTGAAAGCTAAATTTGAATCATATGGAGCTTGTAGGTGTTTTACTAAGGTACTTGGTGTCCAGTGAGCTGAAATGAGCTAACTTTCTATACTGTGTGGATGACTGTTACTTTCTTTTATTTAAGAAACTATAGAAAATAAAAAGCATTAGTATGTATTTTATTTGCATTATAAGTCTCTTCCAGCACCTTCTAATCATTTCTGCTTTAAGCCACACCCACTTTCAGTCCAGAAGGTGTCGGAAAAGGTGTACTGAAGTCAGGGATCAGCTGAATGAAAGCCAGCCCTGCACTGAGTACAGTAACAGTAGCATAATGAAGGTCTAATGAATATTAAGTTTGTGATTGACAGGTGCTGTGTGTAAATTTACCAACGCAAATACCAGGATTGTTCCTTGTGAAACTGCTTTAATCCAGGATATATTCTGTTTGTGTTTGAGGCTGTTTTTGTTTTTGCTCTTTCAGATTACCTGGTGTATAAACTGGAGGCCCAGCAGTCATTAAATAAAGAGAAGGTGAGGCGGGATGTGATGAGAGGACTTGTATGTGCTGTGTTATGTACATTTTTGTGATGGGGGACAAAACAGATTCAGCTGGAAAATCCTCCATGTTTCTGAATGCAGAGGCTTCATAATTACGACTCGGCAAGTGGGAAACAGAAAAGCATGTGATGAACATTTAAGCGCTTAATGTGCTTTTGTTCAGTGTTTTTGGCTCTATAGATGGCTGACAATGAAGTCAGAGTCAGAGGTTTTATAGCATAGTGTGTAAATGTGATGCTGTGTCAGCGGTCCGCCAATAGGAGAGCAGCACAGCTAAAAGTCCACTAATAGGAGAATGGTGTGGCTGAAATCCACCAGTAGAAGAACAGCATGGCTAAACATCCACAAACAGAACAGCAAGGATAAACATCCACCAATAGAAGAATGACACAGCTAAAAACACACCAATAGGAGATCAGCACAGGTAAAACTCACCCAATAGGAGAACAGCACAGCTAAAAATTCACCAATAGAAGAATGGCACAGCTAAAAACACACTAATAGGAGAACAGCACAGGTAAAAATCACCCAATAGGAGAACAGCACAGCTAAAAATACACCAATAGGAGAAAAGCACAACTAAAAATCCACCAATGGGAGAGCAGCACAGCCCAAACTCCACCAATAGGAGAAAAGCACAGCTAAAAATGCACCAATGAAACAAAAACACAGCTAAAAAGCCACCAATAGGAGAACAGCACAGCTAAAAATCCACCAATAGGAGAGCAGCACTGCAAAAAACAGTCAATAGGAAAGCAGAACAGCTAAAAATGCACCAATAATAGAACAGCGTGGCTAAAAATCCACCAACAAGACAGCAGAACAGCTAAAAATCTACCAATAGGACAGCAGAACAGCTAAAAATCTACCAATAGGAGAGCAGCATAGCTACAAATCCATCAACAGACAATAGAGAACGAAATGAGTTGAAGCACCGACTTCAAGTGGTCAGAGCTGATGAATGACCCAAGCAGAATGTGGTAATTAGGTTGATGATCAGAGAATCTTTATAATATAATTTAATATTTAGAACATGGCCATTTACATATATATATATATATATATATATATATATATTATATATATATATATATATATGTATATATATATATATAGTGAGGAACATACAGGCAGATGGCTGTGATGTCTCTGGGCTGTGATGTGAGGTATGCATACATTCCCTCCTGCAGGTGTGGACATGCCTGTGGGTTCAGCTTTATGGTGCTGAATGCCTGTGGCTCATGGCCGTGATTGGCCCCCTATTTTAAAGCACAGCAGTGTTTATGTCCTGCTTTTTAATGTGAGAGTTTATGTTGTGCTTTTTATGTTTATGTGTTTTTGTTGTCGTTCCTCTACAGCAAGATGCCAGCGGCAGGTTTAACTCTCTGCACACGCAGCACCAGATGCTAAAGGTCAGTATGGGTGGGTTTGAAAGCCAGCGTTTCGGGTTTCTTTACTTCCCATTGTGTTAAATGATGACCGTGAGCCATTCTCCGGGGTCTGAGGGTTGGAAACATACCTCTTTCTAAAAATGTTCACAATTTTGCACACGGAAAGACCAGACGGTGCACATTTTTGCTCTAAACCAGCTCCCAAATATGCCATTAAGATCACCGAATAGCTGTGAGGAGTGGACTCAATTAGAGGAGCGCAGTTACAGCAAAAATGTGGTCAGTCTGGTGGGCTGGTTTGGGAAACACAGCTGTTTTGTTACTAAGGACATTCAGTCATTTCATTCACAAATACTAATATATATATTATTTTCTCACCATTTAAAACATCACGACTAACGGGCCAATAGTAATGATCCAACATTGCTTGTAATAAAGCCTGTATAATATAGATTAGACTTAAAATCTAAACCAGTAAATATAGTTGTCTGCAAAAGTTTAAACACCCTCAAGTCAAATGACTGAAGCCTCAGCCCAGAAAAACAAGGAAATGTTGCTCACAAAGAAGATGGGTTCTCCAAACGTTCTTTAGTAAGAGGAATAGCTTCAATATAGAACCATTTCGTGCTTGAATGGCTCTTTGCATGGTGAAATCGTTCTTCAGATTGATGGAGAATATGTTGTATAAGATTCTATATAGCACCAACCACAACATGTCCATCAACCTGAAGAACTATTTCACCATGCAAAGTGCCATTTAAGCATGAAATGGTTCTAGATAGAACCCTAAATAGAACCATTCCCTATACTAAAGAACCCAAAGAACCATCTTTATTAAGAGTGTGGTCTCCTTAGGCAAAACACAGGCCTGGAATTCAGTTTATGGAAAATAAGCTCAAATAAAAATTTCAATCAGTCACTTCATGCAGTTCATGTATTTCATCAGTTAAAACTGCTCAGTAGGTTTAATACTTCTCCTTGTTGTCTGTCTGTCTCTCTCACTGTCTGTCTGTATGTCTATGTCCTCAGACGCAGCACGAGGAGCTGAAGAAGCAGTACTACGAGCTGCAGGAGCAGCACCAGGCTCAGGGTGAAGACCACAGTAAGACCCTCAACGATCACCGGCAGAGATACGATCAGCTGCAGCAGACCAAAGAGCTGGAGATCTCCAAACTGAAAGGTAACACGTTCTTTCAGTCCACCTTACCTCACGCTCACCTACAGGTATTTGTTTTGGGTTTATTTGGGGCCTACTGGCACAAATGCCTACACTATTAACATCACACTCAAGTACTGTACCATATTTTAACCTTATTTTAGTGATTAAAGTCAACCTGAAATCAAAATCGAACATCTGTGCCTTGTTAGTTTGTGTCACTGTTCAAACTAAGCATGATCCGTCATATTATACCATTAAAGGTGAGACACTGCAGGTGAACAGGGTTATGATTTAAAACAACACATATCACGATGAATCTTTACCAGCTGACTGCAGATATTCTACGATTTTTTTTGTATTGGAAGTTTGTCAAAAATTATATTTAGTACAAATGAAACCTTTCCTACTGAAATATGCATACATTTGCATATTGAAAAAGCCACTCTTTGATCTTTTCCCACACTGCAGAGAAAAGGGTTTTACAGAACACTTTAAAATGTTAAAAATCATGTATAATCATTATATTCATCGTTTTTGACAGTATTTTTTTTAAAACGAGGCACTGCAGGGCTTCTCTGTCTGTTCTGTTTGATCGAGCTTACCTGTTCCACTTTTTAAAGACCTAATACCGTGATATGTATCGTGTATTGTGAAAATATTTTCAAGTATCATGATATAGCATTTTTGCCATACCTCAGAATTGCATTAGCCAGCGAGATCTCAGAAAACATGAATTGGCTGTGGCTGTGCCGAGTGTGGGCGGAGTTAATCCATTAAAGTTAGCTCACTTTGGGAAAATGCAGTTAGACATGAGTGGACACAAATTGACCCAATACGCTGACATAAATATAAGTTTATGATTACAGTTTAAGATCAGAGAAGTTATAGATTAATTTAATGTGTGCTGTGTGTAGAAAAGCCTTTGTTTTCCTGATTTGCGCTTTACTGCTTCAGTTTACAACTGTGCTGCCATCTAGTGGGTAAAAATGTATCTGCTGTAGGAGTTTATATTGTGCCTGTGGCAGTATGTCTGGGGTTTCCACTCATAATCCTCTTTAATAGTAATCTTTGTACATCCGCTCACTGGCCACTTTATCAGAAACATCTCGCTTGTGCGTCCACTCACTGGCCAATTTATTAGAAACACATTGCTTGTACTTTTCCTATCTGGCCACTTTGTTAGAAACACCTACCTTGTGCTTCCACTCACTGGCCACTTTATTAGAAACATCCACCTTGTACTTCCACTCACTGGCCACTTTATTAGAAACGCCTACTTTCTGCTTCCACTCACTGGCCACTTTATTTGAAACACCTCCCTTGCACTTCCATTAGCTGGTCATTTTATTAAAAACACCTACCTTGCGCTTCCACTAACTGGCCACTTAATGAGCTCCTTGCACGTCCTCTGTAAATGTGTATAATTATATGTCAAGCCAAGAGTGACTCTGTAGTCAGAGACTGACCATTGATGATGGACTAGAGGATAGCTTACACAGACTGTGCAACTGTAACTGTTCACCAGCATGGTGGAGCTGCAGGAGAGGGTTTCTGGTAACGTGATTGGTGAGTTTATGCAGTACTGAAATGTCTCTCCCTCTCTTTCTCTCCCTCTCTCTCTTTTTCCTGTAGAAAATGTTTATAATCTGCGGGAGGAGAATAAGCAGTTGAGGAAAGCTCATCAGGAAATCCATGTGCAGCTTCAAGATACGAGGGTAAGGCCCACAGGAAGTATGGGTAATGTAGTTTAGCTGTGACATGAGCACATATTAAATGAACGGCCTGTTCTATTAGCATATCTGTACATATATATATATATATATATTTATCGCTGTTGTCAGGACAAAACCTTGTATCTCCATTTTTCAGTTTTTGACATAATTTGAAAATGCCTGTTGCTCTTTACATTGTTTGTAAATTTCATGATGAATGAACCAAAAGAAACGACCCAAAATGACTTGGAAAAAAGTCTGGTTCCATTGACTTACATTAAAAGTAAAGGAAGTTTTTTCCTTCTCCTATAAAGTTACCATTTTGGAGGTTTTGTTCCGACAGTAGCGATATGTATATACATTTTTATACATATATATATATATATATATATATATATATATATATATATATATATATATATATATATATATATACACACATTTGGTGAACCATTAAAGTTTTAAGCTCATGAGAAAATGTAAAAAAAGATATTTATCTGGGAATTAAGTGTTTATTTGTTTAGAAAAGCACTAAAATTAGGTTAAATATAAATAATATTAATACTATAAGAAATGATATTTTCCTTCAGGCTTGAGGAAGCCCAGTGTTAGCTGTAGTTATCATCTGTATCGGTAAGATAGCATAATTAGTCATGTTTAATTGAAGTGTGAAATGTTGAATAAAAATAATTGCATTGTAATAATTAGCATGTTTTCATACTAAAAACACAGGTTACTATGTTTTCATGTTGTGTATTACATGTAGATTTAAATGTTCCATTCGCCGTCCTGAGTTGTGGATGTTGTCTGAAGTGTTTGTGTGTTGGCTCGTTGTGCTAACTGCACTTGAACTGAAGTGGTTTTGTGAAAAACAGCTGCTTGATTTTGAGCTTTGCCTGTGATGACCCCCTCAGCAACAGCACAAGGATTTAAAAGCAGCCCATGATCAGCTTGTGTTGACGCTGGAGGACCACAAGAGTGCGCTAGCAGCGGCCCAGGTCAGGGCGTGTGTGTGTGGTTGAGGCGTGTGTGTGCATGCTGTGTTCTAATGCTGAGCTCTGAGCTGGGAGAGTTTGTGGGACGCGCTGCTCTTCGTTTCTTTATTCACAGATGCATGCTGCTGTTCCTGCTAATGAAACAACCTGGAGCTTTGAAACGCTTTATAACTCTCTCTTTATCTCTCTCTCTCTCTCTCTCTCTTTCTCCCTATCTCTCTGTCTTTCTCTCCTCTCTCTCTCTCTAACTGTTACCGTTTCTGAGATATATGTTTGTTTCTAAAGGTGATGATCTACATCAGCTTGTTCCTCAGAGTCTCTGTGCTGAATCATGTTGTTTTCTTTGTCACTTTGAGGCTCCTTTACAGCTGAGAGAACGTCAGCCTTCTATAGAATATCCAGAACTTCCATTGAAGCTTTTGACTTATCAGTCTGCTCTTGCCACTTAACAAACTCTATAAAATACAGTGGATCAGTAAAAGTGAAGGTGAAAATCTATGACTGACACTTACTATAGGCATTAGGTTTACTATAGACACTTATATAGGCATTAGGTTTACCATAGACACTTACTATAGGCATTAGGTTTACCATAGACACTTACCATAGGCATTAGGTTTACCATAGACACTTACCATAGGCATTAGGTTTACTATAGACACTTACTATAGGCATTAGGTTTACCATAGACGCTTACTATAGGCATTAGGTTTACTATAGACACTTACTATAGGCATTAGGTTTACTATAGACATTTACTATAGGCATTAGGGTTACTATAGACACTTACTATAGGCATTAGGTTTATTATAGACGCTCACTATAGGCTTTAGGTTTACTATAGACACTTACTATAGGCAGTAGTTTTACTATAGACACAATAGGCGTTAGCTTTACTGTAGACACTTACTAGAGGCATTAGGTTTACTATAGACGCTAACTATTAAATGTACTATAGGCATTTACTGTAGGCATTAGGTTTACTGTAGGCATTTACTTTAGCCGTTTAAGTTAGGTTTACTACTGCCATTTGCTATAAGCTTACTATAGACATTTACTATTGCTGTGACATTTTAATGATAGGCTAATTTAGACAACAGGAGTTCAGTCAAGTGGAAATTCTTTAGAATCCAGCTCAGTCTTTTCTGTTGGAATGAATGAAGCATGTAAGGGTTCCTAATGGGTCATAGTTTTCCTTGTATCTAGGATTCCTGACATGTTCTCTATTTTCGCCCCAGTTGCCTTTGACTGTCTCTCTTACCCACCTGTCTGGTGTGGATGCTTGGTGCTGGCTGGCTTTGTTTTCACCATCTTGACTGCTTGCTTCTAAAGGCTTTTCAGTCTCTGCTGCTCTACAACCGCGTTTCTAAAAAAGTCCAAAAGACGCTGTGCAGAATGTAAATTAAAACAGAATGCAATGATGTGCAAATCATTTAAACCCTGTATTTCATTGACAATAGTATAAAGACAACATATCAAATGTTGAAACTGAGAAATGTTATTGTTTTATATGCCTATTTTGAATTTGATGCCAGTCATACATTTCAAAAAAGTTGAGACAGGGACAACAAAAGTTGTGTAATCTTAAAAAGCAAACACCTGGTGGAACATCTCACAGCTTTTTAGGTTAATTGGCAACAGGTCAGAGAGGCGGAGCCTTACAGAAGTAAAGATGAGGAGGGGTTCACCACTCTGTGAAAGACTGCACAATCAAATAGTGCAACAATTTAAAAATAATGTTTCTCAACATGAAATAGCAAAGAACTTCTGCTTTTCATCATCTACGGTACATAATATCATTAAAAGATTCAGAGAATCTGGAGAAATCTCTGTATGTGAGGGACAAGGCCAAAAAACAATATTGGCTGGCCGATGATCTTTGGACTTCAGGCAGCACTGCATTAAAAACAGACATGATTCTGTAGTGGACATCACTGCATGGGCTCAGAAACACTTCTGAAAACCACTGTCTGTGAACACAGTTCATCACTGCATCCACAAATGCACGTCAGAACTCTGGCATGCAAAGAGGAAACCATATATAAACTGGATCCAGAAACGCCGCCGCCTTCTCTGGGCCTGAGCTCATTTAAAATGGACTGAGGCAAAGTGGAAAAGTGTCCTGTGGTCCGACGAATAAAAATTTGAAATTCTTTTTGGAAACATGGACACTGCGTCCTCCGGGCTACAGAGAAGAGGGAACATCTGACTTGTTATCAGCACACAGTTCAGGCCAGCATCTGTGATCATATGTGGTTGCATTGGTGCACATGACAATATCAAATCACGTTCTGCATATATTACAACAGCATTGCTCTATAGTAAGAGTTTGGGTGCTAAACTGACCTGCCTGCTGTCCAGACCTGTCACCCATCGAAAATATTTGGTGTATTATGAAATGCAAAATAGGTCAGAAGAGACCCTGAACTGATGAGCAGCTGAAATCCTGTATCAAACAAGAACAGGAAACATTTCACTTTCTAAACTACAGCAGTGTCTCCTCAGTTCCCAAACGCTTACAGAGTGTTGTTAAAGAAGAGGTGATGAAACTCAGTGGTAAACAGGTCCCCCGTCCCAACTTTTTGGAAATGTGTTGCTGGCATCAAATTCAAAATTGGCATATATTTTTAAAAACCAATAAATATATGTTGTCTTTATACTATTTTCAATTGAATATGGGGTTTAAATGATTTGCATATCATTGCACTCTTGTTTTTTTATTTACATTTTACACAAAGTCCTAACTGATTTGGAAACGGGGTTGTACTAACTCGCAAAAAACTTTTTATGAAAAATTTCATTTGTCTGTCATTTGTGTGTCATATGTGTGCACTGTCTAGTCTCATGTCAGTCATCACCACCAAACCCATCCCTCCCACTCCAGCCCATCATAAAGAAAAATTACTATGATTTTGATTTATTTTTGAGAAGTTTGTAAGTTTAAACTCAACAGAGATGGGATGCTTATCATACAGCTCAATTTTGCAGATAAATGTTAGATAAATACTGTACGTTGCAGGGAAAAGTATCATAGCTTAAGTGAGTCTTCTAAGTTGAGTCATTTGCTATATCACACCATCTTCAGTTTTACACACTTGTACTGCTGGAGGGTGAAAGTGTCAGAGTCTAACGTTCCTCTTTGTGGGTCGCAGGTCCAAGTGGATGAATTCAAGCAGCTGAAGGAGACTCTGAATAGGATGCCCAGTCTGAGGCAGCCAGAGGAGCCCCAGCCCCCTGCAGCAGACCTGCAAGCCCAACCCCCCCAACATAGGACAACATGACGAGCACAGGGACACAGAGTCTCAGGTACCACAGCCACAAAGCTCAGCACCTTTTAGTCCCAACATTCTCCAGTAAACACCAACATTTTCCAGTAAACACCAACAAAAGCCAACATCCTCCTGTAAACACCAACAAAACCCACATTGTCCAGTAAACACCAACAACCATCAACATTCTCCAGTAAACACCAACAAAGCCCAACATTCTCCAGTAAACACCAACAAAGCCCAGCGTTCTCCAGTAAACACCAACAACACCCAGCATTCTCCAATAAACACCAACAAGCCCAACATTCTCCAGTAAACACCAACAAAGCCCAGCGTTCTCCAGTAAACACCAACAACACCCAGCATTCTCCAATAAACACCAACAAAGCCCAACATTCTCCAGTAAACACCAACAAAACCCAGCATTCTCCAATAAACACCAACAAAGCCCAACAATCTCCAGTAAACACCAACAAAACCCAACATTTTCCAGTAAACACCAACAAAAGCCAACATCCTCCTGTAAACACCAACAAAACCCACATTGTCCAGTAAACACCAACAACCATCAACATTCTCCAGTAAACACCAACAAAGCCCAACATTCTCCAGTAAACACCAACAAAGCCCAGCGTTCTCCAGTAAACACCAACAACACCCAGCATTCTCCAATAAACACCAACAAAGCCCAACATTCTCCAGTAAACACCAACAAAGCCCAGCGTTCTCCAGTAAACACCAACAACACCCAGCATTCTCCAATAAACACCAACAAAGCCCAACATTCTCCAGTAAACACCAACAAAACCCAGCATTCTCCAATAAACACCAACAAAGCCCAACAATCTCCAGTAAACACCAACAAAATCCAACATATTCCAGTAAACACCAACTAAATTCAAAATTCTCTTTTAAACACCAACTAAATTCACCAATCTTTAGTAAGCACCAGCTAAATCAAAAATTCTTCAGTAACACCAACAAAATCCAACTTTCTCCAGTAAACACCAACAAAACCCAACATTCTCCAGTAAACACCAACAAAACCCAACATTCTCCAGTAAACACTAACAAAATTCAAAATTCTCTTTTAAACACCAACTAAATCCACCAATCTCTAGTAAGCACCAACTAAATCTAACATTGTCCAATAAACACCAACAAAATCCAACATTCTCCTGTAAACACCAACTAAATCCAACATTCTCCAGTAAACACCAACAAAACCCAACATTCTCCAGTAAACACCAACAAAATCCAACATTCTCCTGTAAACACCAACTAAATCCAACATTCTCTTTTAAGCAGCAACTAAATCCAACATTCTCTTTTAAGCGCCAACTACATTCAACATTCTCTTTTAAACACCAGCTAAATCCACCAATCTCTAGTAAGCACCAACTAAATCTAACATTCTCCAGTAAATACCAACAAAACTGAAACATTCTCCAATAAACTCCAACTAAATCCACCATTCTTCAGTAAACACCAACATTCTCTAGTACACACCAACAAAGCCCAACATTCTGCAGTAAACACCAGCTAAATCCTAACATTCCCCAATAAATCTATCCACTGTCCAACAAATGCAGCTTTATCTAATGATGACACTGAACACTGACAAACCCCAGCATTCTCTAACAAACGTTACCTACAAAGACATTTTTCTACAGACGCCAACAAACTCAACATTACCACACAAACACAGACCTATCTAAGCGTTATCAGCAGAGCTCAGTATTATGCAACAAACCCAGAATTCTCCAACAAACACCCCAAAAACTCTACATTTTCCAACAAACATAAATAACCTGACAGTCCCAACACTGACGTTCTCTAACTAATGCAACAAAACCCCATGTTTGCCAACAAAATGCAGCATTTCCAAGATTCTTCAACGTAACTTTTACAACAAAACCCAACGTTCTCCACCTGACTCCAACACACCGAGCATTATCCAACACACTGACAAAATTCAGCATTTTCAAACATACAAACACAGACAAAACATAGCAACTCTGACCAAAACCCAACCAGCAAACATTAACAAAACCCAACTGTCTCCAACAAATCCAGTATTATTCAATGTGAAAACCCAGAATCCCTCATCAAACCCCACCAATACCAGCGTTCTCCACAAACCTCACCAAAACCTGACATGCTCACTCATTTCTTTCCCTCAGCTGCAGCACCATGAGGACAAACCAGCAGAGCGAGGAGCTGAGGGAGCACAGGAGGAGGAGGAGGAGAGGCGAGATCAGGGGAATGAACATGTGGAGCAGCATCACAATCCAGAGAAGCCTGAACACCAGGATCGAGAGAGGGATCCAGAACAAGACCAGCCGGATGAGAACGCAATAGAGCGGGAGCAGCACAGGCATCTGGTTAGAACACTGACCCAGTCATCTTCTGTGTCTGACTGTTAGAAGCTGCAGTTATCATCTGTGATAACAAAAGCATGCAGTGTTTCAGACTCATAACTCACTGAAACAAGTGGAGAAACAGGCAAAAGTGCAGATTCTTTCAATCCATATCACGTTTGTTCTTGTATGTAGAAGAAGAGATATTTTATAATGGTTTTAATTTGATGTTTGAACTTAAAACAAAAAAAAGATTTGAGAGTGCAGACTCAAATTAGTTGAAACAGAATGTTAAATTAATAACTATCTATGTAATTAAAGCCTAAAACTATGTAGCTATTTAGTATTTAATATTATCATGTTATGTAATATTCTGTAGTGTAGCGTTGCACCCTCAGCCTCATCAGTTTGACACAATCCAACATTTTTGTGTCTCACTACAGTAACCAGCATGCATTGTACAGCATACATCACACGTCACATTGAGGCCCAATCCTATTTCTTCTTTTTACCCCTACCCCTTGTTTTCGAGTGTCACCGTAACCCCTTGGAACTGAGTTACAAGGGGTAGTGGTTGAAATCTTCCCTACGAAAAGGGACCCTCAAATAAAAAAAAAAAAATAAACATTACTTCATTGAGAGGCTACTAGCGCTGCTCTGTAGGTGACCCTGCCCGTCTGCAGTGACAGCAGAGGAGGGTAAAGTTCAGCTCCTCACTGCTGGGCTTTAGTTACATTTAGGGCATCATATGATCTTCAAAGAGGGGGGCAATTATTTATTATCACCCACCCCTAATTCTTCAGTGATATGAAGCTGAAGTCAGATATTCACCAGATTCTTTGATCTCTGCCTTCACACTTTGTTAATTCCCACCATTTCCCCATTGTGGGACTAATAAGGGTCTCTTAATCTTAATCTTAAATAACGTAACACAATGACAGCAATAACTCCGATCGTCTAGGGCCGATTCACACATGCTGCGTCTGCGCTGTCTGAGCGACGCGGAAAGCCATGCCTTTCATTTCGGCGCCCATGTTAACTGGTCAGCGCATTCACACAGGCTGCGCTACACTAAAATAAGCTGATGGCAAATTTGAATAAATACTTTCTTAATCAATAATAATAATAATAATAATAATAATAATAATGTTAATAATAACAATAATCAATAATCAATAGATTAGGTATTGAACTCACATTCACAAATTATATAAGATGACCTTGTAGGGACAGGACGGCCTAGGACGGGCAGGATGGGACCGGCTTTTAAAAAAAAGATATTATATACATTTTTTTTTTAAGGGTCACCAAGAAAGGTAAAGGTTTTGAGTATAATGGGGACCATAACGGAATAGAGTCTTTGTAAAAAGGGCGGGGTGGTCGTCTTATCACTCCGAGGATTGTATAAAAAGGACGGTCTGAAACTGTCTGTGCGTTTAGGTCTCCGGAGAACTCTTACCACTTGATGCTCCAATAAAGAGGGGACCTTTTCCTTCTTTCCAGAAGAACTCGGCACCTGAAGTCTTTTTGGATTCTTTTTCAGTGCTTAGAAGTGTTAGAGATTCATATATATGTCCAGGTCCTGAGCTGTATGGCTCTGGGTCACGACAAAGCCTTAAAAATCAGTGGAAATTAAATTGAAAACAGTATTATTTTAAAATTGAATTTAATTCACGACAAAATACTCGTTAAACATTCTGTGCTGCAAACAGATTTCCTGGTTGGTCCACCGGGCTTGAAACTTTTGCTTAATCACAGGTCAGAATGCTGTCGAGGATAAACAAACATATCGTGCACTTTCATAAATGATATTTTTGTCGAGCAGGGTGACTAATATGACCATTTATCTGTCTGGAATAAGGAATGGCTGTATAACTGTCTCGCTGCTCTGCAGCCCAAACGCTGTATGTATGAAAGGCCAGTGCGTTCGAGCTGTAGCGCTCACACTGCCGCGTGGCTCACTCCACGCAGAGGTAGCGTGTGTGAATCAGGCCTAAGGGTTATTGTTTGGATTTTCAACATAGCTGATTGCTATGATGGCATTATTTACAAAAAGTTGTCCTGCAGTTTCAGCGTCCTGCTGTCTGTCTGTCTGTTCGCAGGCCGTCCCGACTCAGGCGGCGCATGTGAAGTCTGCACTGGAGCAGCAGCAGGAGCAGAAGCGTTTGGCTGAGCAGCTGGCGGAGCAGCGACGGCAGCTCCAGCTTAGACAAGAGGAGCTCCAAAGACAACAGCTTCAGCAGCAGAGAGAGAGAGAGGAGAGAGTGAGGCTGGAGAAGGAGAGAGAGGAACAGCAGCACAGAGAGGCTGATCTCAGAGAACAGCAGCTCCGAGAGGAACAGCTCAGGTTCAACACAAACACACAGACTCTCACACTAATGACTATTTCTATACTCGATTAACCGCTCGACTATGGAGCGTTTAACTATTTTCCCTTCATCGGTTGCTCTGTTTTCCCCCACCATCATTTGTAGTGACCGGGACTTCCACTCAGTACGGAAGCCATATATTGCCCCCTACACTTCCTGTAGTGTATTACAGTCTGTCAGAATGGCTGTGTGGATCATATGAACATTATAGAGCTTTTTAAATGAAACAGTAGAAGCCATATCGCCCCCTACACTTCCTGTAGTGTATTACAGTCTGTCAGAGTGACTGTGTGGATCATATGAACATTATAGAGCTTTTTAAATGAAACAGTAGAAGCCATATCGCCCCCTACACTTCCTGTAGTGTATTACAGTCTGTCAGAGTGACTGTGTGGATCATATGAACATTATAGAGCTTTTTAAATGAAACAGTAGAGGCCATATCGCCCCCTACACTTCCTGTAGTGTATTACAGTCTGTCAGAATGACTGTGTGGATCATATGAACATTATACATCATTTTAGATTAAATTAGATTTAGATTAAAATTTGTCTTTGACAAAATATTAAGCTTTTAATGTGTTGTCCTAGTAATTTAATTGGGGATGTGCGTTAAGGATACAGTTGTTCAGTTACAAGGGGTAGTAATAAATAAATATTTATTAATTCTTTCATTAATTTCACTGTGATACACTGTAGGCCTAGGCAGAAGGAGTACAGAGGAGGCCGTGTCAGTGGGCAGATTTTTTTATTATTTCTCTCAAAAAAATGAACAAAACCAAAAGAAGCTCATCACAACTACAGGCTTCAGCGTTGTTTTTTTCCCTCTGGAGCTTCAAGTTCAGTTCTTCTCTCTGCCTGAATGTTCCTGTCTCCTAGTTCTCTCTCTTTCTCTCTACTGGGGAAAGAACCTCGTATTAGTAGAGAAAGAGACAGTTACCCACAGGTGTAAGCGTTTGCCAATCAGTCTGCGTTCTGACTCTGGCCAAGCCTCTCCCCAGTACACAGCACTTCAACACACTCCTGCTGCCACAGTCACTTAAAGGGAAATGATTCCATCGATTTTGCGAAATGAAGTAATTATTTAATGGTTTAGATGTAAACAAAATCATTCAGAGTAGTTCGGTGTGAAATGCGCTTTTCTAGAGAAATTTACAGTCAAAATTGTTCACCATTATGTTTCTAGGAACCAGACATCCGCATGTCTACACTGCAAATATCACCATTTTATCTGCTCTTCACAATGACCAGTGAACTTATGGGTGTCTTGTACATTTTAATATGTCACGCTGAGAATGGTAAAATAGTGCTAAGTTAAAAAAATATGTTTTCTTTGGGTTCTATTTTTTCCTTACAACGCCCTGCATTTACCTCTCCGCCTGGTAAGCGGAGTAGTACGTAGTTTGTTGTTGAGACCAGTACTTTCCATTCGCTCTGGGTTGCTCTGCATCGGCACCGGTGGGTTCGGCCTCTCTTCCTTTTGCCTCTCTCTGTTCTTTAAACCTGCTGCGACTCTTTTGTGTTTTCTGGTTCAAACTGATACGGATCTACAACATTTTGGAAACAGACCTCCTCGTAGTCCTCCACATACTCTGCCATCTTCCAAACTAGGTGAGAAAACCATAATGTTGAATTATATGTTGAAGGCTAATAACAACAGAAGCACATTAGCCTGCTCGCATTGATCTCAGTTGAGATGGGGTTTTGACCGAAAACATCTAAGTAATCCTGGAGTAATAGTTTATAGTAAAAATACGCTTTGGGCCAAAACTTTATGACAAAATTATCACAAAATAATGTCTCAGGTCTCCAGCCATGCATTCATAACCATTCTGTGAAATAACTTAACGGGATGTAGCTTTCAGAGCCATTAAAAGCATCAGACGTCTGGTTCCTAGTACTACAATGGTGAACAATTCTGACTCGGTAAATTTCTCTAGAAAGGTGAATTTCACACTGAAAATGATTGAATGATTCAGTAAATTTGCATAATCGGTGGAGTTCCCCTTTAATTTAATGACTTACTGTGTAAAGTCACAGTAAGCTGCTGTATATGGATTGTAAATTAATATCATTATTATTTATTGCTCATTTCAGGAAGAAGGCACATTATGAACACCTAGACGCCGGCGTCGCCGAGGGCGAGGAAGATGCTCGGGTTGATCTGCGAGATGGTGAGAGGTTTGCATAAGCTCTGCTTCAGCAACTGTACGCTGAGAATATGAGTATTAGTAATAGAGACGAGCCTTCCGGCGAATTTTGATTTTCGAGTATCAGTAAGAGTTCATGAACAGATGTTGGTAAAAAGAAAAAAGAAACACAGATTTGGGGTGAAATTGTACAGCTGTGGTTTATCTGTTAAGCTGACCACACTGCAAAAACACCTGGCATCACATTTAGCAGAGGATACTTTTCTAAACATGTTTTAAAATTCAAAAATAGTCAGAAATGAGTCAAATCAGTATGTTTAATGTTGGGTGAGTCAAATCAGACGAGCTAATGAGCTAAAGCCACAGCTAAACGGTAATGCTGGATGCTGATGGAGACTCAAATAAAAAACTTTTTATTGTGTTTTATATGACGATGTGCCAACATGTTAGCTTTTCGGCTTACTTTGCTATAAAATCATCTCCGTCACGTCGTTAACAACACATCCTTGGCATCGTTCTCATGTTATGACGCTCATTTTCTGTAGTAGCAGTAAAACACACTCTTAAAAAAGATGGTTCTTCAAGGGTTCTTTAGAAAAGGGATTGGTTCTATACAGAACTTCTATACACAACTTGCTTTGCATGGTGAAATTGTTCCTCAGATTGATAAAGAATGTGTTTAATATGGTTCTGTATAGCAACAAAAAGGGTTCTGCTATTGTTACAAGCTTGACAACATCAAAATAGCAGACCCATTTTTGGTGCTGCATAGAATTATTTTTAAAATGTTCCATTTAGAACAGCATTCTCCATCAATCTGAAGAACCATTTACCATGCAAAGAGCATGAAGTGATTCTATATAGGACTCATGGTTTTAAACAGAACATTTCGCTTTACTAAAGAACCCCTGAAGATCTTTTTTAAGAGGGAACTTACAGATACGAGCAAAACGTCTAAATTTTACAGTGCTGTTAAAACATAAAAGCTTTGTTGATGTGAATATTATCACCTCGATTGGTTAACTGGGTACTCAAGCACATCCCTAAGACCAACAATGTGAAAGGACACAGTTCATCCCCAGTTTATTTCAGTGATGAAGCGCATTAGGCAGATGAAAAAGATATTTAAGGCTGTAAGGAGACACGGATCATGTGTAAGGGCTGGCTCCAGGGCTGCAGCGCTCCCGGCCACCAGAGGGAGACGATGCATTCCTCACAGGTATAATCAAGCCCAACGTACTACACCTGGGCAGAGGCTTCATAAGCACAGAGACGGAGACTCGCACTGCTGTGTCTTTGTCTCATCTTGAGTCAGCAGAAACAGCCGGTCATTTTAGTTACTAATTTCCCTCTCGACTTCTGACAAAGCCAGTTTTCCCCTGGCATCCTTTGTTTTTTCCTGCCTGACAGAAATGGGTGGGTTTATAAATTCAGCTTTCCCCACCCACTTTCGGGCAATCCCATATAAGGGGGCTCCTTTCAGCAGTCTTCACCATGACCTGAAGAGGTAGAGCCCTCGTGCAGCATCTATAGGGCCCGGGTTCGATCCCCGGACTCCCCACGTGTTCAAGTGCTTAAGTTTAACTCATCCTTCTATTGTACATAAGCTTGGCTCTTGGGTCCTGTGTCCCCAAAACCTGTTGTGGCTCACCTGGTAGGCCCTGGGATATAGCCTGGGTTCACATCCTCTGTTTGGTGAGCCATCCCACGTTACATCATGCATGTGAGGAGTCGGCAGCTTTAAAGAGTCTGATATATATGGAGCTTAAAATGTGCCAAGAACTTCAACTCAAAATTAGGAATCCCTGTAAGCAGCGTTCCCCTCTCACAGAGCTAGACAACCTACGCTGTGGACAGCTTTGTGTTTTTCAGTCTAACACAGCTTAGATCTTATTAGTGAATCATCTTATAATCGCTTTCTTTTTTTAGGGCTGCACGATGACATCAGAATCACATCAGTGTTGGCAGATAGTTACCTAAAAATGATTGGCATTGATTAGATATGATCACCGTTTCATACCGATATGTGATGACGTGTTTATTTTGTCTCTAGAAGAGCAGATTGTTTATGTGAGGCTGGGTTACTGTGTTAAAATGTCAGCAGTTTATTTATAACCCTGTGCTGATCCAGGTGGATTTAGTCCCAGGTTTATAAATGTTGATGAACTGTATCAGTGCATCGCTTGTTTTTTCTGCCATTTTTATTTTGTTTATATTTCTGTGAATTGCCTTTGTGTATGAAATGTGCTGTATAATGAAACCTGCAGTGCTGTGATGATGTTTTCTCTTTTTAGAGGAGAGTAATGCGCACACCAGGAACAGGCAGGAGGAGAAGCAAGTCCATCATGAAGAGGTAGAGGTGTTTCATAAACACACATACATCAGATAATTCACACAGAATTAGGGCTGGGTGTTGAGAGCGTTCTGTACGTTTATGGCACTGATATGATCACTTCAGTCTCGCAGAGCGTTGAAAAAGTGTGGTCAGTTATCAAATTTCAAAGAAGCAGTAAGCATTTTTCTCCCAAAATCTAGACCGGCGACTGACTATCTGAATCGCATTGCGTAAGCAGGTTATTAACATGAGAGAACGAGTACAAATTATCATATATATTATTATTATATATGCATTTTTGAGTGTGCGCCAATGACTAAATCCAGTCCACATTGCCACAATTTTTCCTGCACCAACACACCTGACTTTACCTGTCAGCTACATTACGCCCTTCATTAATGACAGTTAAATCAGGCTGGTGTTACATCTTAGCACAGTGAGTTGGGACCACATACACTGCCCATGTTTGTGTTTTCTCTGCGTTAATACACCTGATTTGACTCGGCTAATAATCAAGGCCTTCATGAGACACTACAGATGGTAGTATATTAAATATTCTACCTTTTTCTCTTTTGGCCATGAAGAGGATGATTATAATAATCTATTTTTATGATTATTCTTTTATTCACCAAAAAAGGAAAGTATAAGTGTGAGATTGTACTCTGGTCTTGAAGTCAAGAAGCTAAGTTGAAGGACATGTTTCTGTGGAGCAAAACAGGAAGGAGTAGTTCCCATTTTTGGGAAATCCACAAATAATTGGATGTGTTGGAAGTTAGAAAGCAGGGGTGTTAAATTAAAATTCACTAAGTTCCAGTTAGAGAAAATATCCTCAAGCAAAGATCCAGAACATCATAATGTCTAACCTGCATCATGATTCAGTGCCATATACTGTTTACTGAAGTAGCCTAGTAGGTATATCAGCATCTATATTATACAGTCAACAACTGAATGTCAATTCAAGTACAATTCAGTCATATTTCAACAATATTTACTGTCAGTTTTCTCTTTTAGAGCACGTCATGTGAAATAACTTCTCTCTGACTCACTTTCTTCTCTGACTGCTGTGTCTCGCCTCGTCCCTCCCCTGTGTGTGCGTCACTCACTCGAGTCTCAGTGCTCGTCGTAATGCACAGATCTGATTGGCTGAGTAGCGTCACGTGTGATATGTACAACGCATGCGATTGGTCTGTGAGTCTCCCGGGCTGCTAATCCGGTACAGTAATGACTAGAAAAGTTACGCCGATTAAAATAGGACCAGCCCAACGAAATAAAATAATTCTCCACAGTTTATCGGTTACAGGTCCAGGTCCGCATAGGACAGCGTCTGGGTCCGGAATCGGACCGCGGCCCGCCTATTAGTGACCTCTGCTATAAATATATGGGTAAAGGTGCTCCGTGAGGCTGCCAGCAGTTTTCGTGAGAGCTCCAAAAAAGTAATGCTCAGTGAGCAGAAAAAGTGTCATTTTTGAAATTTTGGCCAAAAAAATGATCAAAATTGGCACTTTCAGTTTTCCCGTTTCAAAGATTTTGGTGCATGCCTCTGCATACTTGCCATTATAGACTAGCATGTTAGAAAGTCATGATGTCTTTGATAATCAAGTATCCCTCTATGACTCCGCTTAGCAGCCCATTGAGGCCGACGTTGATCCAGCAGACGACCCCAACAACCAAGGAGAGGATGAGTTTGAGGAGGCTGAGCAACAGGGCCGTGAAGAAGAGGATGATGAAGGGCTGGTACCTCCTGGACACTCTGACCACCAGTTACACAGAGAGAACCAACAGCAGCCGCCAGCAGACGAACAGCTGGTGGTGAGTCAGCAGAGAGGGCACCGCCACCAAATCTGACCACCGTCAACTGGAGAACGAATAAAATACGTTCATTTCCATTGATAACCTTTGCTGAATTACCTTAGCAACACTGACAGCTGCCATTAGATCATCTATAAAAAAATAAATAAATTACAAAAAAACTAATCCTAGTTATCAGCTTTACACATTAAAATTCCACATCAGTTAATGCATCAGTACTTTTGAATAACATGTCTAGAGTACGTTTTTTGGTCTGGATAAACTTTACATAATACGTTGTTCTCATGTTGGTCTTGCTGAACCTCATTGCCACAACCCAGATGGCCAGATTCAATTTTATTTCAAAATTATATGTTAAAATAACTTTAACTTTGGGTCTTTTTGGGTTGAGGGTGGAAAAACTGAACTGTGTTGTGCATTTGCGCAGATGGCAGGAAATCCTGACCAACAAGAGGACAACTTGGAAGAGCAGTATCAGGAAGAGGGAGATGAAGAGGTCAGTCTCACACATCCACACTCATACAGACAAATAAAGGCCCAGTCCCATTTTTTATTTTTACCCCTACCCATTGTTTTCGAGGGTCACCTTGCCCCTTGGATCTGAGTCGCAGGGTTAATGGTTAAAACTTTCCCCTGCAAAATGGGCCCCTTAAATAAAAAGAGCATCACTTCATTAACAGCTACCAGCGCTGCTCTGTAGGTGACCCTGCCAGTCTGCAGTGACAGCAGAGGAGGGTAAAGTTCAGCTCCTCACTGCTGGGCTTTAGTTACATTTAGGGCATCATATGATCTTCAAAGAGGGGGGGCAATTATTTATTATCACCCACCCCTAATTCTTCAGTGATATGAAGCTGAAGTCAGATATTCAGCAGTGTCTTGTTCAAATTTACCAGTTCCACCTTAAATGGAGAAGCCTGAGGTGCCAGAATGTGAGACATCAGTACTACTAGCAATTTTTTGTATACTTGTTATGAAGAAAAGGATCATAAGACATTGAAACGACATTAAACTAAGATAATACAGTGGTTATTGTAATTTTTAAAGGAGAAAATACTCATTTGCTGGTTTTTCTTTTTTTCTCATAACTCTCTGTTTGGAGTCTCTGAAAAACCTCTGTTTGGAGGGTCATGTAGCCCCAACACTTCACCCTCCCCCTCTATCTCAACAGAAATCCGGACACCCTACCCCTAGACATGAACGCACAAAACGGAGGGGTAGGGCTGAGTGGTAGGGGCGAGGGGTGAAATGGGACTGGGCCTAAATCTGTAGGCATCTAAGCACTGTTTTCTCCTGACAGGCCCAGGATGACTTGGCTGAGGAGCAGAAGCCAGAAGAGGCAGGAGAAGAAGCAGATCCTTACAATGAGGAGAATGGAGAGCAGGTACGTTCATGGAGAAATCGGTATCTCCTCTATCAGAGATACGTGCCAGCATGCCAGCAGCGATACATTCTTGGAGAAATCTTTCTCATTATCCTGCGTTCATGGACAGAACAGTATCTCTGCTCTCAGAAATACATATGTCCATGCAGGAACTGGTATCTCTTCTCCTAGAGAGATATGCATCCATGTCCTCCACCTGGACAAATTGGTATCTGTATTCTCTCTGAGATACAAACGTCCACAGAGAAACCAGTATATTCTCTCTAAGATACACATACATCCATGGAGAAACCAGTAGGTCTTCCACTAGAGATGCATGTGTCCATGGAAAAAAATGGTATCTCTTCTCTGAGCGATACATACATTCACAAAGAAACTGATATCTCTTCTGTCAGACATACATGTCCATTGAGAAACTGGTATCTTTTCTGTCAGATATAAATATGTCCGTTGAGAAACTGGTATCTTTTCTTTCAGATATACATCGTCCCGTATCTTGTCAGAAAACTGGTATCTTTTCTTTCAGATATACATGTCCATTGCTCTGTCAGACATACATATGTCCATGGAGAAACTGGTATCTCTTCCGTCAGACATACATATGTCCATGGAGAAACTGGTATCTCTTCCGTCAGACATACATATGTCCATGGAGAAACTGGTATCTCTTCCGTCAGACATACATATGTCCATGGAGAAACTGGTATCTCTTCTGTCAGACATACATATGTCCATTGAGAAACTGGTATCTTTTCTGTTAGACATATATACGTATGTCCATGGAAAAACTGGTATCTCTTATGCTGGAGTTATGTGCATCCATAGAAAACCCAGTATATCCTCAGTCAGAGATACATGAACCAATGGTGAAACAGTGTCTCCTCTCACAGAGATGCACTATATGGCCAAAAGTTTATGGACACCTACTCATCCAGTGTTTCTTCCAAAATCAAGAGTATCAAAAAATGAGTTTGTTCGTCTTTGCAGCAGTTACAGCCTCTGCTTTTCTGGGATGGCTTTACACTAAATGTTACAACATTGCTGTGAGGATTTGATTGAGCATTAGTGAGGTCAGGTACTGATGTTTGATGGTCAGTTCTGGATCACTCCAGCTCATCCCAAAGGAACTGGAGCTCCATCACTCCAGAGAACACAGTTCCACTGCTTCCCAGCCCAGTGCTGGGGGGCTTTATACCCCTCTAGTCCACTCTTGGCATTAGATATGGTGACCTTAGGCTCATGTGCATCTCTAGAGCATCTTATTCAATTGTCAATGCTTTTCTATGGAGATTAAACAAACTATGTGTGCATTAAGGCCTGTGTCAGCAGTGAGTTCACCTTAATGCAGCCGAATCTACTAATAAATAGGCTTGTCCACAACAGCTGGACTTACAGTGTATATACATGCACAGAGAAACCAGTTTCTTTTCTGCCAGAGATACATACGCTCGCTTACTCAAGTCTGGGATTTGTGACGCAACCTTGAAAAACTTACTCGAGGATCTAGAGAAAGAGGAGGACAGGAGGAGGAGACCAGTGGGTGAACGAGTGCTCAGTAGGAGGTTTAGTGATTAATCAGTATTTCTGATAGAAGTGAGGGTCTGTAATTTACCCCCGCGGCTGCTGAAATGAACCCGGAGACTCGCTCTGCGTTACTCTCCTCTGAAGCCTCAGACTAATGAGTGAATTTTTATTCCTCAACCCAATTTCTGAACAGCAACCACTGAGATCCCACGCTGCCACTCTTTCATATTCCATTAATCTATTCACTTGCGCTCCGGTCATTCCCAAAAATGAAATGCGCTTCAGAAGTGAGTGAGCTCTTCTGTGGTGAGTGGGAGAAAAGTGGAGTCAATCATTTTTGAATAAATATTCCTCCTGATTTCTCCTGGATATTCTCGGCGTGAATGTAATAATCTCTGGGATGGAAACTGTAGGAGATGGAGAAACGTTCGTAACTGGGTGTTTACTTTAGTGTAGGAAGGTTTCATTCCAGGTCATTTTAGAGATATTTTTATTGATCTATTCTTTATGAAATGGTCACAATCTAAAGGGCAGCTAGAGTGTTTAAATGAAGTGACAGTAGTTAAACTAGAAAAGTGTGTTTTCTGAAGAAAATGCAGTGATTGGGCAGCTTAAGCTTGCTAAGATCTTGGTAGGCGCTATGCTATGGTATCCCAAGTGGTTGCTAGGGTGTTGCTTGGTCATTGCTATGGTATTCGAAGTGGGTGCTAAGGGGTTGCCAGATGGTTGCTATAGTATCTCAGGTGGTTGCTAGGGGGTTGCTAGGTGGGTGCTGGTGGTTACTATGATATCCCACATAATTAAGGTGCAGTGTGTCCCAATTCAGGTGCTGCGTCCTCCGGAGGCTGCATTTGAAGGCCGATTGCGTCACAGCGGCACGACTAGGCCGTCCCATTTTGAAGAACACAAACAGTAAAATCAAAGTTTCTGGCTCCACGACCGTCTCATTTCGGTTCAGCCTTCCCAGGTCTAAGTAGCCTTCAAAGGACACGTCTTCATGGACCTCGCCCTTGAAGGATCCAGCCCCTGAATTGGGACACACTCATGGTGTTGCTAATGGGCTGTCATTGTGATATAGGCAGGGTGCACTAACTTTTCATTCCTCAGATAAAACATTTGTCATTTAACAAATATTGTACGAAAAACACATCCGATCAAAAAGCTGTATGCGTGCACGCCATCCTCGATCAGACCGAACATTCCAGAGTTGGAACGTTGTCGATGGACAAAAATCCGGCAGAAAAATGAGAAAAAGGAGAATAATATAAATTAGATAACACTGGTCACTAATTACTAAGTAAATAAAAGTAGAGCTGAAAGGTTTCGACGTTAGTGCTGGTATGTCTGCCTGCTGGCCGTGTGCGACTGTGAACACTCCTTTATGTGAGCTGTTGGTGTAACTGTAGACTGACGGCTGGTACAGTTGGCTGAATGGCAGATTGGTTGCAGTGTTCTCGGCGGTGTCTGGTTACTGCCACCTCTCTCCATCACGGCTCGCGGCAGCTCACCTTCCCGAATCATCAGGAGTTACTCTATTGAGATGAACTGCAGAGCTCCAGATGTTTTCCATTTTTAAGATTTTGGTGTTTTTATCATTGAAGTGCTGTGAAAATCATAGTCTTATGGGTCAGTGATCTTTCTCTATATACTTTCTCACAATCATGACACACACTGGGAATAAACTTGAAAAAATTAAAATGAATAAAACAATGGGTTTTTTTTTGGATATACAAACAATGATGACTGACTCCATTCATTTTATACAGATTTTAGTAACGTTTTCCAATTTGAGTGATCAAATAAATCTGTAAATAATGCTACGTTTCTTTTCATAACGTGTGCATTGTTGTACGATTTTGTCAGGCCGATTGGTGACGCTAAATTGCCCCTAAGCGTGAATGTGTATGTCTGTCTGTCTGCCCTGTGATGGACTGGCGACCTGTCCAGGGTGTTTCCTGCCTTCCGCCCAGTGACAGCTGGGATGGGCTCCAGCACCCCCCACGACCCAGAAGGATAAGCGGTTTAGATGTGTGTACTTAATGGCTGTTTTGATGGCTGTACAGAGCAAAACAAGAGCAAATATTGTATATATCATTATACAGATGCATAAATAAAAGTAAAGATATAAAATAAGAGTATAAAAAAACGCATTAAAAAGACACATAAATATTATGTAGGTGACAGTACAGTGGTGTATTGTCACATCTAGTGAATCATCTAAGAACGTCCAAGCAGAACCACAAACCGAGTGACTATGCACTGTAAACGATGGAGCAATAACACATGTTAATAGTTGCAATATGTATGGATATATAAACAAAGTGGCAGCGCATAGTGATATGAGTGGTTCGTAGATGTAACGTCCATCTGGTGCTGAGTGAGCCTGTCCTGATAGTGGTTCAGTAAACAGTAATGTCCTTGAGCTCGTGTTCACTTGCTGATGTATGTGTGTGTTTAGGATGATGCTCGCGAGCAGGAGGAGGCGGGGCCAGAGGACAAGCAGCCTGCCAAAGAGCCCAATGAGGAGGAGAACTACGAAGAGGAAGAGGAGGAGCCAGAGGAAGACACCAATCGCAGGGCGGAGATGTGAGAGGATGACCAATCACGTCACACTTCCTCCACACAGGCCTTTGGCGGTATTCTCCTTTTTCCTTGTAGCAGAGTAAAACTGTCTGAAGCAGAGATTCTGCTGGGACGTTTAAGGTCTGAAGGGGTCAGTTCTTCAGCGGAGTGAAATGGACACCAGCGTCTGACGTACAGATCAACCTACAGCCCTCAGTTTGCCTACGATATACTGTAGAACTTCTTAACTGTCCAAATCAAACACTGTCACATTAGATATGAGTTTGCTTTTAAACAACAAAGACTTTGGAAGCATCGTACTCAAAGAATTTATGGTTGAAGTGCCATTTTTCAGTTTAAAAATATTATTTTTTTCTTATATATTGTTGCTGTCCAAAAAACTCATTTTCTGTGATTTTTAGTTTTATAATTTGATCTCGGAAGCTGCCCTTTACTCTGAGTGAAAATTTCATGATTAATGGACCGACAGAAATTCTCCAAAACTTGGACTTGGAATAAAATCTTGTTACATTTACTTACCGTTTTTGCCCCCTCCTCTAAAGCTACTCTTTTGGAGATACATGTTTGTCTTTGGACAGCGACGATATGTAAGGTGTCTGTTTTGCAATGTTGCTGGAGATTTCTTGAAAATGTTAATCAAATTATTCCAAAAAGAAGCAAGTCGTCCCGTCAGCCTTTCGTCCACGGTTTTTCTGTCACCAATTTATGTGTACATCGATCAGGCATAACATTCTGACCACCTCCTTGTTTCTACGCTCATTGTCCATTTTATCAGCTCCACTTACTATATAGGTGCACTTTGTAGTTCTACAGTTACAGACTGTAGTCCATCTGTTTCTCTGATACTTTGTTAGCCCCCTTTTACCCTGTTCGTCAGTGGTCAGGACCCCCATGGACCCTCACAGAGCAGTTTGGGTGGTGGATCATTCTCAGCACTGCAGTAACACTGACGTGGTGGTGGTGTGTTGTGCTGGTATGAGTGGATCAGACACAGCAGTGCTGCTGGAGTTTTAAACACTGTGTCCACTCACTGTCCACTCTATTAGACACTCCTACCTTGTCAGTCCACCTTGTAGATGTAAAGTCAGAGGCGATAGCTCATCTGCTGCTGCACAGTTTGTGTTGGTCATCCTCTAGTCCTTCATCAGTGGTCACAGGACACTGTTGGCTGGATATTTTTGGTTGGTGGACTATTCTCAGTCCAGCAGTGACACTGAGGTGTTTAAAAACTCCAGCAGCACTGCTGTGTCTGATCCACTCAGACCAGCGCAACACACACTAACACACCACCACCACGTCAGTGTTACTGCAGTGCTGAGAATGATCCACCACCCAAACTGCTCTGTGAGGGTCCATGGGGGTCCTGACCACTGACGAACAGGGTAAAAGGGGGCTAACAAAGTATCAGAGAAACAGATGGACTACATTCTGTAACTGTAGAACTACAAAGTGCACCTATATAGTAAGTGGAGCTGATAAAATGGACAGTGAGTGTAGAAACAAGGAGGTGGTCAGAATGATATGCCTGATCAGTGTATACTATTGATGTCATTACTAGGGCTGTATTGTTTAAAATGTTTTGTAACTGATACCATCACGTCTGTGCTGATTCCTGATTCAGTACCTTTTTCAGGACCTTTAAAGGGCCCATATCGGGAAAGATTTTCCTTTCCACCTGTTTAGCCCTCAGCAGTTTAGCTCCACCCACTCACACTGAAGTTATAAGGAGTGTTTCAGCCTGGACTGCTTTTTGAATGAGGCACAATACAGGTTATCCAATCTGAACAGAGCTTGTTTACATATATCAGTCTTCATCCTCTGGGGTCCACAAACATGCCGGTGCATCAAATTCTCTGTTTCTATATCTGTTTCTGTGTCTTTGTGATGATCCAGCTCAGAAATCCAGTTCAAACACTTCCTGAATCTGTAGAGTCGCCCTTTCCATTCCATCTTATCACGAGATCATACGAGACTCACATCCGGAGTTATGAGCCTATGAAGAGGGGCTGAGATACACGTCATCTGCCTCTCACCGTGTGGAACTGGTGGATTGGTGTGTCCGTCTACATTCTTTGTGAAACTGACCAATGGACACTCAGGAAATCACTAAGCACTGACCATCACGCTGGAAACCCTTCATTCTTCATTCAGTCCACATCGGAGACTCATGTGAAACGGCGTGCAGAGAGTTTACAGCTGCTGAAGCTGCTGCAGCGGTTTTGGAAAGTAGTGATGAAGATAACGGAGCATTTAGATATGAAACATATGAGGATAATGTTATATGAAGAGCCTTTAAAGGAGAGTTTAAGAAGACCTCTCAGACCTCAGAGGGTTAAAGGTGTAGTAAAACAAAAGCCTGTTTAATTTAAAGGGATAAAGTGAGGCTTATAAAAATGAATTATAACTGTATTCGGAACATAAAACCGCCCAAATTCATAAGTGGAAAGAAAATTATAAGATATGGGCCCTTTAAATGTAAATCAGAAGTGGTTGTGGCTTGCAGACCAATCAAGAAGCGCCGATGTTAATAACCTGAATATGGCATTTTATGGTAGTTTAGCCAATCGGCAGTCAAGGTTTTGGAACCAGCATGTTTATTGGCTCACAGACGCTGATAAAACTGCCTCCTTAGGTATTGAAATTTGATACTGAATGACAGAAATTTCGATACACAGTTGTATTGAAGTAATTCGGTCGGTAAGATGGACGTACTGAATTGCGATACTCGACCCTCGTCACTACATAAATGTCTATAATCTGTGGCCGATGGATGTAGATGCTCATGACTATCATTTTGTTATCTTTAGATGATTTTCTGTAGTGATTATGTATCGTAAGTGGAGCTCTTTGCTTTTATATTTTGTGATTCTGTAGCTTTGATCGTGATCGCTGACTAGGTTTTCAGTCATTTACTAAAATGCCAATAACACTGTAAGTTGGGCTGTTTATGGTGAAACTTTAATGCAACTAGTTTCAGTTTACGTGTTACACAAAACAGAATTTGATAGATATAAAAAGCCATTCAGAAACAGTGTTGCACGCAACACATTCCATTTCTTCCATTAATTAGCACAAATAGCAGCTAGTATTTTTCATATTTCGTGCTGTTTTGGCTGTTTAAAGATCTGCTACGTGTTGTTTGGCTTACATTTGCAGCTTTGTATCATTTTTATGTCAAGAGAGCAGAACATAGATTAACTAGCCAAGAAGATCAGACTAGCAAAGCAGAACAAATGCTAGCATAAGCAGCCATAGTGATCATGTTAGCGTTAGTGAGCTAACGAGCTAATTGAGCTCAGCAAATAAGCAATGTTATTATTGGAAATGATACCGTTTGACCTGATTACAAGGTACATCATCTGCATTTTGATTGGCTGTTCTCAGGCTAAGACATGCAAAGCGAGTAAAATTTAGTTTCATATAAGTTACAAGCAACTAAAGTTGCGTGAAAGTTTCACTGTGTAAAGCACAGCCTGATACAGTCCTCATCTGAGACCAGGGCTGTGCAGTCTGCCAAGACCAGCTCATAAATACTGGATAAAGAGGGAAAGCTAATGCTAACGTGAGTCTTTCTGGTCATCCTCTCCCAAATTCTGAGCTTTTTTTAATAACATAGCTTTAACTGGCTACATTTAACGGGCTAAATTAGTTACTATGACAACCAGACTATTTTTAATTGGGTAAGTGGCCAATAGGAGCCAGCACAGCTCGGCTGAATTCTTACTATCAGGAGAAACAGTGATGCAGGCTAATGCTGGGCTTACATGTTAGCGTTGGGGAAAAAAGCATGGTTGTGTACCTTTTTGCGCTAACGACAGCATGCGGCCGTGAAATTGTTGCCATGGTGATAGCGTCCGCTGAAAATTTGTGAAGATCAAAAATCATCTCTTTTATTTATTTAACATGAAAAAGTCCCGAGAATGTAAAATGGCGCCTTGGCCCATGACCACTTTACATCTTGCAATATTTTATTGCCGTTGATGAACTTTTTTAGCGATTAAAAGTAGCTACCATAGTTATTATAGTTTTGAAAATGTTTATTCAATTTTATTTTTATTTAGTTTTTCATTTTGGCTTTTAATCTCAGTTTAGTTAGTCTTAAGGGTGCATTAATGGTTTTAGTTTAGTCTTTGTTTAGTTTCAGTTTTAGTTTAATGATGAACACTGTGATAGCTGGTATTTGATAAGAGTAAATAAATATTATAAATAAAATGATCACACAGTAGACTGAGCTCATACCGGCTCCAGCTTTCCTTAAAAGCAGCCAAACGCAGAAACACACTTCTGAACTTTTTCAGTGTGAATGAGTTTAATTCTATTTTCGTTTAAGTTCGTTTTGCAGTGGCCGTTACAGCTTTGATTTAGTTTGTGTATTTTTGCAAACTCTTTTTTAACGTTTACGAGTTACACAAAACAGAATTTGATAGATATAAAAAGCCGTTCAGAAACAGTGTTGCACGCAACACATTCCATTTTTTCCACTAGTTAGCACAAAGAGCAGCTAGCACTTTTTCATATATCGTGCTGTTTTGGCTGTTTAAAGATCTGCTACGTGTTGTTTGGCTTACATTTACAGCTTTGTATCATTTTTACGTCAAGAGAGCAGAACATAGATTAACTAGCCAAGAAGATCAGACTAGCAAAGCAGAACAAATGCTAGCATTAGCAGCCATTCAGCTATTTTATAACGTTTTTATTTTTATTACACTGAACGAGCACTAAAACTATCACTGCTAGTTTTTGTTTCAGTGATAGTTTTAGTGAACTATAATAACCCTGATAGCTACCTGATATGTTCATAGGACAAAATGTATCATTATTGAAACATTTTTCTAAACCACAGGACGCGTAGCGATGATTTAAAATAAAAAAAAATTCGAAATAGAGAAAAATCTGCTGTCCGGAGTTCCTAATATGGTGCCGACTACAGAAAAATCAGTCGTTGTTCTTGTTTTTGATTGTATTTTTCAGCCATGGCTCCAAATTATTGCCCATTAGAGAAGCCCTTAGGCCCTTTAAAACCGCTTTACAGCTACACTCTTAAGAAGACACTTCTTTAAGGATTCTTTAGTAAAGGTATTGGATCTATATAGAACTATGAACACTCAAATGGTTCTTCAGATTGATGGACAATGTATGGTATATGGTTCTGTATAGAGCCTTTTTTGAAAATGGCTCTATATAGCACAAAAAAGGTTCTTCTGTTGTAACTGTAGAACTACAAAGTGCACCTATATAGTAAGTGGAGCTGATAAAATGGACAATGAGTGTAGAAACAAGGAGGTGGTCAGAATGTTATGCCTGACGGTATATATAGAACCATTTTCATAAAGGTTCTACATGGCAACTTGTACAGCCCTTGAAGAATCTTTCTAAGAGTGTATTTAATGGGAAACCTCAAAAATTACCTTCGACTCATCATATAACCAGTGCTGCTCACCTGTAGGTGAGGTGGAAGGTTGACCTTTGACCTTATATTAATGACATCACTAACAGTGCTCTCAAATTCAGCCTAGCGCTCAGTGTAGATCGTGTTGGCATCAAAGTACTGGGTATAAAAATCAGTTTTTTAATAAAAAACAAAAAATAATAGGCTGTTATTTAAAAAAAACTGACTTGCGAAACATTAGCGTGACCTCACTGACCAGCTTTCACTGTAGATCAGATGTTTTTTGGGTGAAATATTTAACTTTGATCGTACTGTCCAGTCTCTCTCTGTCAACTTTACACAGTTTATTCGACTCTTCCATCCTGCTGTGCTTGTTCAGCTCACTGGGGGCTGTTTTCTGTCATTATCTGATGTTTTGATGATTTGACGTGGCCTGTAAACTCACCTGGCAGACAGACTTTACAGTTTTGTGAAGAAATTTTATATTTGGGGGGGAAACGCAGTCCTCATTTTGAATGTATGACACTACAAAGAATTATTGTATTTATTTTGTCAAGTATTATTTTTATTATGAAGAAAATCTGTTGTTTGATGCCAAATTGTTACTTTACTGTGTACAATAGTCTTTTTTTTTCTTCCCATTTGACTTTGATTATTCATCACAGTAATAATATTGCAAAGAACAATCTTTTAGGTCAATGTTCATCTATTTAAGACACTATTAAAATAAAACTCTACATACGTTTGTACTCCCTTCTTTCCAGAGCTGCGGCGATGGTTCACTCTGGGGGGGATGGGAGGACAGGTTTTGTGTAGAACCGTCTGTAGGCTCTTTTGGTGACGTGTGGAATAAAAGTGGTGAAAGATTTTATCTGCATTTCTCTCTCAACACATTCATTCACTTTAGCATCAAAAAGTAGTTTTTGCTTTATTTTAAATTTTTATTGCATCTTTAGCTACATTTCAATATAGTTTCTATATTAATACTAATATTTCTAAAAATAATAATCCTGTTATTATTATTTATTAATTGTTGTATACTAAAATGGAGTAGTATACAGTTATTATTAATAATATATTTGACAATGAATAATAATAATAATAATAATAATAATAATAATACAGTATGCAAATACAATATGCAAAAAGTTCAGGCACGCTGTCAAATTCCAGTACTTGTTTTGTTTCTCATATTTACTATTTATTTACTGTACTTAAAAAAGTAAAACTTAAAACATGGTGTGCGCAAAAGGCCTTTTAAATTCAGTAAACAAATAGAAATTGTAAGCACATAATAGAAAACAAGTAAGCACATCCTCTTCCGAGGACACACTTAAATATTACATTGTTCTGCATATTTCAGAGCACATTTTCTATTTATTTGCTCTATTTGAGTTTAACATACTGGGAAAAATAAAACATAAATGTGCCGTCACCTTCGCACAGGCATTTTATGTTTTCCATCATGTTAAATTCAGTAAATAAACAGCAATTGTGTATTAAAATACACAAAAGTGTGTCTGTAGAGGATGTGTTAACTTATTTACACTCAGATTATTATTATTATCATTATTATAATTATTATTACATTTTGACACACACACACACATATATATATATATATATATATATATATATATATATATATATATATATATACACACACACACACACACACACACAAATATACAGTTTTCCAAAGATTTTATATATATATATATATATATATATATATATTATATATATATATATTTACCAGTTTACCAAAGATGTGATAAACCAAAGATTTGATAAACCACAGTTAATTTATGTTTTAACGGGGGGGCAACCACTTTTTCACACAGGGCCCCGTGGGTTTGGATTTATTTTTCCCTTAATAATAAAGATCTTCATTTATAAACTGCATTTTGTGTTTACTTGTGTTATCTTGGTCTAATATTTACATTCGTTTGGTGATCTGAAACATGTAAGTGTGACAAACATGCAAAAGAATAAGAAATCAGGAAGGGGCAAACACTTTTTCACACCACTGTGTATACATATATGTGTGTGTGTGTGTGTGTGTGTGTGTGTGTGTGTATATATATATATATATATATATATATATATATATATATATATATATATATATACACACACACACCACACACCACACACAAACACACACACATATATATGTATACATACATACATACATACATCATCTAATGACATAGGGATAGGCTCCAGCACCCCACCGCGACCCAGAAGGATAAGTGGTTTAGATGATGTGTGTATATATATATATATCAGACATTAAAACCACTGTTGGAGCTTTGAGGGAACATTTACACTGTTTGTACCCTGATGAACGAAAAATGTTCCTGTACAGAACCTTTATTTCTAACAGTGTGTGCTCTCTTTCTTCTGTCTGTCATGTCTTTCCTCCTCTCTATCTCTTTTCTCCTCTCCACTGTCTCTTCTGCTGTCTCTCTCTCTCTCTCACTCTCCTCACTGTCCTGAAGTGTCCCTGCTCCTCAGCTCAGGTTTCAGTGGAGCTGAAATCGACACCAAAATTAAAACACAACCCTGGGGTACATATGAATTAATGAAGCGCTGCTGAAAGGACGAAGCGGCCGTTACGGGGTGAGAGAGGCTGTGAATGGGACGATGTCGTGGCACATGCAGGTTCTCTATCGAATGCGAAAGGTATAAGGCTGATAAGCCATGCAGCTCTATTCGTTATCACAATCAAAAAGTTTGGGGAGACTTTTTACAAAAATAATTATATATAATGTAGTTACATGTAGTGAGAGGACATTATATTACTACTGCATTTCACAGTAATTGCCAAATAACTCATAGTAGATACTAAATTTGTGGTAGATACTGAATAATTTTAAATTGCAAACTAAATAATTCATAATGAACAATGAATAATTTATGGAGGATACTGAATAATTCATAGTAGTTACTGATGTATTCATAGTAGTACATTAACAAAACAGGCTGCACAATACACAGTGGTTGCAATAATTCATAGTTGTCACTAGGGGTCTGTGATATGGCAAAATTGTTATCACAATATTAAAACATTTTTACGATACATAATATGCATTATCATATTTAGTTTTTAAGTTGCAACAGACAAAATAGAACCTGTAGTGCCAAAAAAAACCATTAAAGTCCTAATTCTGCTCACTTTCTAACTAAACATTAGACAGTGTTCTTAAAGCAGTGGCGATATCCACGATATGCTCATATTTTGCTATAATTTATCACGATAACAATACAATATTGTCATATTGGTTGTGACTGAATAATTTATAGTGGTGGTTTATCATTGTTATTGGTATGAAGTCTTAAAAGTGTATAAGCTGTATAATAAGCCAGTTTACAAGGTTGAGTCATTTTTCCAATAACCCACACCTGTTTATTGCCACCTAGTTTTATTTTAGTTTGTTCCAGCCCAAACTAAATATAGACTTTTGCCAAATCACTGTCTGTGTTTACATGCAAAGATTTTTGTCAATCTGATTAAATACATTCCGATTACAGATGAAGACTGAGGTGTTTATCTCACTCTACTCACCAATCTGATGGAAAACTCTGTTTCCATGCTCACTACAAGTAATCCGATCCAAAATTACGCTCGTGCGTAGAAAACCACTCAGTGTAGCTGTTACCATGACAACAAGCATCACGTGAGTCCAGTCAGAGTGAGATGGGCAGCAGTGAGCAGTGCTTGTGTTTTTAACTGCTTTAAAATGATGTCAGACTCAGGAAAACGTCCTTCACCTGTCCTTATTAAAGAAGGCCGAGAGGAAGACGTCGTGTTCTGAGACACATAAGCTGGACGTCCGTCCCACCGCCGTCTTTTAAAGACCAGAGCATAAACTTCGTCTCCTCTGCAGACCAGTTTCTGCTCCGCCATGCTGAACGGTATAAACTCTCACTATGACGTGACGAACATGATCAGAACGGACTTAAACTTTCCGATAGGGAATGTAATCAGATACAGGCGTTTACACGGATATTATTCTTCAATTTAACGGATTATTTACAGGATTACCCACCTCGATCAATCGGATAGAGACTGTATTCCGAATAGCCTCAATCAGTCTAGTCTATTCTGATTGAAGTGTTTACATGGACGTATTCTGTTCCGATTGAGCTATTAGTCAGATTATTAACAGATTATTAGGCTGCATGTAAACGTGGCTACTGACAGCTTTAGAGTTTGATGTAAACATGTGGTCACTCTCTTTTTCAGAAACCGACCAAACGGACTGCAGGTCAAATATTATGTTGTTAAAAATGTGCTGTTATTTGTGATGGAAGCCAGAACGCTTCTCAACCAGACCGTGCAACCAGAACTAACTGCAGCATGATCTCAAATACGTCATGGTATGGAAGGTGAATGAGTTATGATTTCCAAGCATATTGCATTCTGAATGATATATTTTCTGCAATTGCGTTTTTGACTGAAATGCCATTTTGAACAGGAATAAGACGAAACCAGGACAGTACAAAAATAGCAATACTTTAATTTGCCTCAGCAGGTTCTGTACAAACAGTGCATTTCAAAAAGAAAACCTCCATCTCCGGTACAGTACGGCAGATCTGACGATGGCTTGTGACGGACAGGTCCTGACCCTGCTGATGTTACAGAATGATGCAGAGCCTGGAGGACGATGGGAGTTTCGGAGGCACTGAGTCTTCTGGCAGCTTTGGGATGCCGTCCAGAACTTTGAGTTTTGGCAAACAGGAGAACACGCTGCAGCAGAACAAGAGGAGAAGCATCAACAAGCTTCATCTTATTCACCAAATTTGAATGTAGTCAGTCTCATCAGCATTTATGATCCAATAAGCAGCTTGTTTCTGATTGGCTGTTTAAATTACATTTCATATGCAGCTTATTAATGTCAGCACGTCTTCATTACTCAGCGATCTGTTACAGTCAGTAAATATAACCACTCACAGAACTACACACTCATTACTGGTTTAAGCCACACCCACTTCCAGCACCTCACAATCATTACTGGCTTAAGCCACACCCACTTACAGCATCTCACACTCATTACTGGTTTAAATCACACCCACTTCCAACACCTCACACTCATTATTGTCTTAAGCCACACCCACTTAAAGCATCTCACACTCATTACTGACTTAAGCCACACCCGCTCGCACCACCTCACACTCATTATTGGTTTAAGCCACACCCACTTTCAGCAGCTCACATTCATTATTGTCTTAAGCCACACGCACTTCCAGCACCTCACACTCGTTACTGGTTTAAGCCACACCCACTTTCAGCAGCTCACATTCATTATTGTCTTAAGCCACACCCACTTACAGCATCTCCTACTCATTACTAGCTTAAGCCACACCCACCAGCCACTCACAGCACCTCACGCTCATTATTGGTTTAAGCCACACTCCCTTACAGCACCTCACACTCATAACTGGTTTGAGCCACACCCATTCAGAGCACCACACACTCATTATTGGTTTAAGCCACACCCACTTTAGGCTGTAATTTAAAATACACATGAGCCTCCCATTCTGTTGGTAGAACCATTGTTAAAGAACCATTTGCAAGCTTAAATGAACCTGAAGAACCATTTCACCATGAAAAGAATCATTTAAGCAAATGGTTCTTCAAGTGTTCATGGTTCTATGTAGAACCACTGTCTTTACCAAAAACACCCCTGAAGAACTTTTTTTTGTTTTTGCACAATATAAAAATACGGAAAAAAAAATAATGAAACTAATTTCTCTCTCTCTGTCTCTCAATCTCTCTCTCTCACACTCTCTTACTCTCACTCTCAATCTCCCTCACTCTCTCTCTCTGTCTCTCACTCTCTCTCTCTCACACTCTCTTACTCACTCTCAATCTCCCTCTCTCTCTCTCTCTCTCTCTCACACTCTCTTACTCACTCTCAATCTCCCTCACTCTCTCTCTCTCTGTCTCTCACTCTCTCTTTCTCTCACTCTCTCTCTCTGTCTCTCACTCTCTCTCTCTCACTGTCTCTCACTCTCTCTCTCTCCCTCTCTCTCTCACTCAATCTCTCTCTCTCCCTCCTTCGCTCTCTCTCTTTGTGTGTGTGTGTGTCTCTCTCTCTCACCGTGAGCGGTAGTCCTCCAGGAACTCACAGGGGTTGAGTCTGAGTGTGAGGGACTGTATGGGTGTGGCCTGCAGCAGGCTCAGCTCCCCCAGGCTGGAGATGCTGTTCTCCGACAGGCACAGGTGCTGGATCTCCGGAACCTTTGGCAGCTGACCGAACGACGTCAAGTGGTTCCGGTGCAGATTCAGGCTTTTACATCTACAGTGAAGATGCATTCTTACTCACACACTTCATATCATCAGTTTATTAAAGAGAAAAGTCACTTGCTGTGGGTCTGTGTTCTCGTACATGTTGAGCCATTATATTACAGCTTTTTTTAAACTACTACCTCTTCTATAATTAATTAACTCGAAACCCGTTTAAACCTGCTGTCAGAGGAGTGCGTGCCAGAGCGGAACATATCAGCGTGTAGAATCAGAGCTTTCTGTGAGCTGCTGTGTTTCCTATCACTGTATAAAAGATGCATGAGGCTTTGTTTATTGCTGGATGCACAGTGATTTTTACAGAGCGATCAAGTGAGCTCAGTGAAGACCAGTGAGAGCTTATGATGATTAAACGCTACTGATGTGTGACTTCCATTCCCATTCATGTGTTTTCTGGTTAATAAACATAAACAGAACAAAAATACATGAATGTTCTGCTTTCTTAGAGCAGCAGCACTGAGAAATCAAATGATTGACACAAAAGAACAGAAGAAACCTGAAGGAAGAGCCACATTTGTGTGACAGCATTAAAGCGATAGTTCAGTGAAAAATGACATTTAACCAGCCCCCCCCTCCCACCATTACCCCAAATGTAGGTCAGCCAAGACAAGTTTGGTGTCTGAAGTTTGTTTTTCTAGTTTAAGTCCTGGAGCTAAGGCAGCTAACAAGTAATGGAGGCTTACACCCCACCAATTAGCATGGTGCTACAACCAAAACTTCTCCCAGTACAACCAAAACTTCTTCCAGTACAACCAAAACACCTCGCAGTACAACCAAAACCCCTCCCAGTACAACTGAAACTCCTCCCAGTACAACCGAAACCCCTTCATGTACAACCAAAACACCTCCTAGTACAACCGAAACCCCTTCCAGTATAACCGAAACTCCTCCCAGTACAACCGGAACCCCTCCCAGTACAACAGGTTGTACTTCGAGGAGTTGCGATTGTACTGGAAGGGTCCAGTACAACCGCAACTCCTCCCAGTACAACCGAAACCCCTTCCAGTACAACCAAAACCCCTCCCCATGCAGTAGGTCACTGGGCTGGTAATCCATGTCTGTAGGGATGAAAGAAATGCTTAGAAGCCATAAGGACAGACACCACAACTAAACAAACTGCAGATGACTTAATAAACAGGTGGTACTTGGTTGCCATGTAATGAGCGAATTTGCGCATTCCATCCCACACAGCAATCAGATTTCAGTCTGACGAACCAGAGAGGCATTTGACTACCAAGTGTAAATAAGTGACCAGGTGTAAACGGGGTTTAATAGACTTGATTATGTGATTTCTGACGATCTATGATACACTGAGTGTGTTTACATTTAATAATCTGATAACTGCAGAAAATCGGATTGTGTCAGTAACCGGTTTAGTGTGTTTACACTTAATAATCTGATACCTGAAGAAAATCAGATTGTGTCAGTAACCGGTTCAGTGAGTTTACACTTAATAATCTGATAACTGCAGAAAATCAGATTGTGTCAGTAAATGGTTCAGTGTGTTTATACTTAATCTGATAACCGCAGAAAATCAGACTGTTGCGTCTCGCGGGTGCTGTGTTAAACGCTGCTTGCTGTTTCTGGGACAGCGCTCTGTTTTCACTCAAGCACAAACTGAGAGAAACGAAAGAAATCAGAGTGAGAGTTTACATGCAATGAGAAACCCCATTACTGAACTCAAATCCAGCCTCTTTATCAGATTTCTAGAAATCTGATAACAACCTTAATCTGATCTAAGAAATCAGAGTATGCTATTTACACGACCACTAGAATAATCAGATAACTGCAGAAAACCAATTACGATATTAATAAATGATCCTAATTTTTAATTTTTAGTTTGATTTTTAATGACTCATTTCTTTACTTGTAAAATTTACTGTTTTAACCTTGTTTTAATTTCTATTCTCCTTTACTTGATGTTACCTTTTAAAATTTAATGTGAATTATCTTTGTATTTTCTCATTTGTAAAGCATTTTGAATGACCACAGTGTAAGACAGGTGCTATATAAATAAGCTTGCGTTGCCTATTATTGGCGTGTCTGTAAACACGCTCACTGTGATCCATAAACAACTAAAGTATATTAGCACAGCTAAATGCAGTAGCAGCCGTCTTAAAGCCTGATCTTCGTGTCTTGGCTGACTGAATACGTTTGGGTACATGGAAAACTGCCTACATTAGACTTTTTGCTTAACTTTTCTTTTTAATATCACAGATTCCTGCATTTCTGTAAGTAGCTGAGTGGGTCATGTGCTCTGTACAGTATTTATAATGTAATATTCAGTAAATTTCTATTATCAGTAATGTGTTTAGCTTCCACAGTGCAGTATTCACATAAACATATGCTGGATGCCTCACTCTCTCACTCTCTCACTCCCTGTCTTGGCTGAGGGTGCTGTACCTTGGCAGTCGGACTGAGCTGAGGTCCTGCAGGGCGTTGTCCACCAGCTGGAGCCGCTCCACTCTGATCAGCCTCCTCAGGATGCGTGTGAAGTTCTCCAGCTGGTACGGGTCTCCCAGGTCCTGATAGGACAGGTTCAGCTCCTGAGGGGACAGTCAGAGGGAGACAGAGAGTAAGGGGGACAGAATACTGAGCGTTTTGGGGGACCGATACACTATTTTTGGGAAAGTTTTCAGTGGGGAGATCTGTCTGTCTATCTACCTGTCTGTCTGTCTGTCTGTCTGTCTATCTATCTATCTATCTATCTATTTTTGGGAAAGTTTTCAGTGGGGTGATCTGTCTGTCTATCTACCTGTCTGTCTGTCTGTCTGTCTGTCTATCTATCTATCTATCTATCTATTTTTGGGAAAGTTTTCAGTGGGGTGATCTGTCTATCTACCTGTCTGTCTGTCTGTCTGTCTGTCTATCTATCTATCTATCTATCTATTTTTGGGAAAGTTTTCAGTGGGGAGATCTGTCTGTCTATCTACCTGTCTGTCTGTGGGTCTATCTATCTATCTATCTATCTATCTATCTGTCTGTCTGTCTGTCTGTGGGTCTATCTATCTATCTATCTATCTATCTATCTATCTATCTGTCTGTCTGTCTGTGGGTCTATCTATCTATCTATCTTACTATCTGTCTGTCTGTCTGTGGGTCTATCTATCTATCTATCTATCTATCTATCTATCTATCTGACTTTCTGTTTGTCTGTCTTTTTTGTCTATCTATCTATCTATCTATCTATCTATCTATCTGTCTGTCTGTCTGTCTGGCTGTGGGTCTATCTATCTATCTATCTATCTGTCTGTCTGTCTGTCTGTCTGTCTGTCTGTGGGTCTATCTGTCTGTCTGTCTGTCTGTCTGTCTGTCTGTGGGTCTATCTATCTATCTATGTGTCTTTGTGTCTGTTTGTCTATCTGTCTGTCTGTCTGTCTGTTATTATTATAATTGTGGAAATGTTGAAATAAATAAAAGGTAAAGCAAAGGAAGAAAAATGAAGTCTGGTCCACACAGATCGCCTTAATAACTCCACTTATTATTTATTACGTATTAACTAGGTAATAATGTGTGTCTAACGCCTCACCACACAGTTCTCCCAGTTCTCCTGCAGCCTCTCCTCCCACCTCTGCTCTTCATCCTCTCTCCTCCTCCTCCTGCCATTCCTGAGGAAGATGTCCTCGTCCCTAAGAGAATGTTCATCTTCTGAAGGTCCTGTAATGACAGATTTATAGACTGACCTCACAATATTACACACTGACACACATCTTACTGCCCATCATAAGTTTGGAGACACCCAGCTGTTTTAAAACGTCATGTTTTCTATGTTGATGTGCAACACCTGACCATATTATGTCTATTCGGGTTTATTTAAAAGAAAACATTGTTACATGTGTAAGTATTTGTGCCAATATTAGTGATGACGCTGCTCTGTCAATAATGCCAAAGACCACACCCACTTAATCTCCTTGTTGTGATGTCACTCATCAGCACTCAAACCCTTCAGGTGATTAAACCACCTCTGGACTAAAAGAGTTTCAATATGAGCTTTTAACAATAGTTTGGAAGAGAAAACAGAAAATCATGACTGCTCTACATACACTATATGGACAAAAGTATTGGGACACGTACACATTATACCTACAGAAGCTTCTATGAATCCCATTCTAAATCCATAGGCATTAATATGGAGTTGGTCCCCCTTTGCAGCTCTAACAGCTTCCACTCTTCTGGGAAGCTTCTACAGGATTTTGGAGAGAGTCTGTGGGAATTTCTGACCATTCATCCAGAAGAGCGTCTGTGAGGTCAGACACTGATGTTGGACGAGAGGAAATCTCTGTTCTAATTCATCCCAAAGGTGTGTGATGGGGTTGAGGTCAGGGCTCTGTGAGGGCCAGTCAAGCTCTTCCACACCAAACTCACCCAGTCAGGCCTTTATGGAGCTGCTTTGTGCACTGGGGCTCAGTCATGCTGGAACAGGAAAGGTTCTTCCCCAAACTGTTCACACAAAGTTGGAAGTGTACAATTGTCCAAAATGTCTTGGTGCTGAAGCATTAAGATTTCCCTTCACTGGAACTAAGGGTTCTAGACCAACCCCTGAAAAACAGCCCCATATCATCATCCTTCCTCCACCAAACTTTACAGCTGGCACAGTGCAGTCAGGCAGGTAACGTTCTCCTGGCATTCGCCAAACCCAGACTCGTCCATCAGACTGACAGATAGAGAAGCTGATTCATCACTGCACAGAATACGTTTCCACTCCTCCAGAGTCCAGTGGCGGCGCTTTACTCCACTCCATCCGACGCTCTGCATTGTGCTTGGTGATGTAAGGCCTGCATGCAGTTGTTCAGCCATGGAGACCCTGCCATGAAGCTCCCGGTACAGTTTCTGTGCTGATGTTGAAGCCAGAGGAGGTTTGAACTCTGCAGATATTGATCAGCAGAGCGTTGGAGACTTTTATGCTCTATGCTCCTCAGCACTCGGCAACCTGTTCTGTAACTGATCTGACACTTCGTGGCTGAGTTGCTGTGGTTCCTAAACACTTCCACTTTTCAGTAATACCACAGTTGATCTTGGAATATCTAATTTCACTAACTGACTTGCTGCAAAGGTGGCGCCCTGTTACAGCACCACGCTGGAACTCAGTGAGCTCTTCAGACCCATTCTTTCACTAATGTGTGTAAAGGCAGGCTGCATGGCTGGGCGCTTGATTTTATACACCTGTGGCAATGAGGCTGAATGAAACACCTGAATTCAATGATTAAGAGGTGTGTCCCAATACTTTTGTCCATATAGTGTATCAAGGATGATCATGAAGCTGAGTGTTACACCAAAATGTAGCTGTTCTTCTTACTTAGTGGCGAAGTATTGAGCAAGCCAAAGTTCTGAAATGCCACAAACATGTAAAACATGCACTGGACAGAACAGTTATGCAACATGGCTTTCAGAGAAGGTCAACATGAACTTTCTATCAAAGGTCACCTTCTCGGACCCTGGGGCAGGTGAGCTGGTCTCCACGGACATCGTGTTCCTCCAGGCGATGCCACGAGGTGAACCTGAAGCGGCTGGATGGCAGCTAAAATAAACCCAGAGAGAGAGAAACAACATAGAAGAGATGGGACGTAAATCTCTGACCTCACAACGATTCAGTTTGACCGTTTGCAAGGTCCTCATGTTCTGCTCAGACTGCCTGGCATCAACACTTCTCGACGAAAAATGTCTGTCTCAAGATGGTCTCAAAGAAATAGAGCAGATCTCAAGACTTCAGAAGTGAAGGATCGTGGATTTCTGAGCTTTTCTCAGGAGAAAAAAGGAGATTACCATCAGAGTTTCACTGTGAGAAGTTCTGGTGATCAATGAGAAATGTGTGAGTTCTTCTGCACTGACAGACTGCTGAGAGAGTTCTGTGATCTAGAACAGAGCTGTATAAGAAAACGATGAGATCTCACACTTTTCTTATGGAGATATTATTCAGCTCAGACTTGACTGAGACGAGTCAGACACTAAAGAGTTAATTCATATGTGACAGAATTTCAATCAAAGTGAGAAAATCTTTTATTTCTCAGGAGCCAGATTTCAGGAGAATATGGCTAAAGTCTCACTCTGCTTCCAAACTGGACTTAACCACGTCTAGAAGATTAGGAGGAGATATCAGTTACAGTATTTCTCTCCTCTGACAGACTAAAGCCCATGTGTCAAACACAAGGCCCGCGGGCCAAGTCAGGCCCGTGACACAGTCCTGTTTGTCCTGGAAAATTATTTTAATTTTCTATTCTTATTAGCCTCTTTCACCCTGAGATGCACTACAGTCCCCAGCATGCACTACAGTCCCCAGCATGCACTGCAACATAGTGTGTGTTCTGACCCCCAACAACAATCTATGGGTCAGCGGTTACACAAAAAGAAGAGATGCCTGGTGTCCAGTTCAAGCAAATAGGCAGTTTTTAAAAAATGACCTAAAACAATTTATTTTTATTCAGAATTATTTTTGAAAGTATTCAATGTCTATTTTGCTGGCATTAAAAACTTTCGCATATTTTGGCATATTTTGAATAAATAACCATGGCAAAATGTTACGTAAAAATCAATTAAAACACAGCTGGCCCACAGATGTGCTGAGATTTTTCAATACAGCCCTTTTAGTGGCTGAGTTTGACAACCCTTGTAACGAGGCAGAATAACTCGCGGGTAAAAAGAGAGAGTGAGGCTTTAATGTTAGAGTCGTGATCCAAAAACGTGGTCAGAGAACAGGCAAAGGTTGAATCCAGAAAAGACAAAAGACACAAAAAGACAAACACAACCTGGCAAACAGAGTCCAAAGGGCAAAGGCAAAAAGGGCAAAACGTCAAAATAGCAAAACAGAGTCAGAACCGGAAAAATCACAATAATCAGAAGAATAACGCTCAGTAGCTCTTCAACAAGTAGCAATACCTCACACTGGACTAGACTTAAAGCCCAGGCTTTATACTAAGCTCATCATACTAGAACAGGTGTAACAAGTTAGTATTCAGGCGACAGAGAGCGGTGATTGGAGCGAGATGGAGGGCTGAGAATCATGTGATTCCCCTGGGGATTCTGGGAAATGGAGTCCCTAGAGGCCTCTGAGCCCGAGGGATGCATGACACCCGTGGATTAAAACATTCAGTGGTAATCTCTGGAAGCACACGGACGAGTGTACCTGAAAACATTTTGTCAGTGCAGACATACATGTTTGAAAACGGACAAAATATGAATTTAAGCCAATTTATAGAAAAAAAAAGATTCAAGATTCTGTAAACCGTGTTTACATTAATCAAACAAGGGAATCTCTCAGTGACCGGGCAGTAAAGCAGCAGGTTTTCAGGTCTAATGAGGATGTTTGAGCTCAGAAAGCTGCCCCGTTCAGCTAAGCTAATGCTAAAGCTAACACTGGAGCTGAACGGAGGTGCTGAGGACACGTCTTTTAATATTTATCTTTACAGAGGATTTTTAACTGTAAGTGCAGGCGCTGTACAGTCCTGTTTAATCTGACACAGCAAAACATTTTTCTTTAATGTTATTTATTGTTTAACATCCTATTAGAGTCATTCCTCAGCAAATACAGTAACCCAGACAAAGTGTAGCTTACATCAGAGCCTGTTAAGTTTATTGTTCGTCAGTTTACAAACGGCCAATACGATCATCATTCTTTATGTCACTATTCACTGCAGCCGGAATCAGACATGTATGTACACAGAAGTATCTGGTGAAGCTGTTTACACAGTAGTGGAATACAGACAATAATAAATACAATAACTAAACTAAACCAAACTTTTTTTCTTCTGATTTTTAAGTTTTGAATTAAACAAGAAATTTTATTTTGGACACAAAATCACAATGTATTGAATATTAATATAATCCACTATTATATACATACAATACAATCCATTATAACTCATTGTAACATTCCAAATTAATACAGCTTAATCAGACTGACGCATTTTTTACAGACATACAAAGGAGTCAAAGCACCATTCAGAAATCCATCCATCCATCCATCCATCCATCTTCTAAACCGCTTATCCTTCTGGGTCGCGGTCATTCAGAAATCCCTGCCTGTCAATTAAAAAGAATGTTTTGCCAAATGTTGCTACTGTGGCTAAAAACGAATGGACATTAAAGCCAGCAGAGAGCATCTATATTAAAAGGTTACAGATATCTTTTGTTGCTAAGGCAATAAATTTGACTAACAAATTGCAATAATTTACTTCTTCATCATTATAAGTGATGTATATGAATACATTCTGTATGTATCGTATAGTGTTTCGTATTCTTGCCTGTCTTATGTTTGTATTATGCTGTGTTTTGTGTTTGGTCAGACAATTAAGGCAATTTAATTTTTATTATTCTCAGCTCTTTGTTTTTGAATTAGCGTGCTTGAGTTTTCCCAGGTTAAATGATAGTTAAATAAAAGATAATAAACTGTAAAAACATTTTTGGCTTGGCTGGATTTACTGTAATATTACAGCTACATTTCCACCTTTGACTCCCACTGAGGAAACAGCCTGGACCGACTGAACCCAGCTAGGTGACATGCCGTGACCCCCAGTGAACGCGTCTATCTCTGAAGCTAGAATTACCTTTACGTCCACGCCGAGTTTATTCACGGCTCAGCTGTGGTCAGTAACACGATCCACAGGGACGACCCCTCACACTGACCCTTATTCTAGACTGGTACACAGTGTGAGGAAAAGCACAGGTGTGCATTCAGCTGATCATTAAATAATCAACTCCAGCTCAGTTTGAGTGATTTTACTGTAGCATTTAAACAACAGACTCAACAGTTTGACCACTTTCACACTGAAATACTGTTTGTGGTCAAACTCAGAGGCTTTTAACATTTCAGTGTTGCTTCTAACGTGTTTATTTTAATGAGAACAGTGGAACTAACTTGTGTAGATCATTTCTATTGGTCATTTTTATGTCTATGACAGTGATGATCATAACGTATGTAGTATAATAAAGCGATAAGCCACGAGAGGCCATGGGTTACTGCGATTTTATCCACTTCGAGTCGTGCCAAAGAACACCCCTCCCTGTGATTAATAACAATCAACATAAACAAGTATTCCGCCAGGAAATGTAGTTCCTTTAGAGTGCGGTATCGTTGCTAAGCAACCATTGACCACTGAATGAGGAGAAGAACGTTCGGTCGCCCATCGCTGTAAACTGCAGACATTTCATGATTTTTAAAACTTATTTCATATAACAGTGAACATATGATAACACAGCACTGTTTAATGTAAATACCTTCAGTTTTTAAGCACTTTATGGTCACTAAATCACCACCGCGAGTCTTTCTGTCTGCCGACGCCACTTTTCTCACGCTGGGGCCGAATCTCAGACGGCTCCCTGCTCCCTACATAGTGCACTACGTAGGAGTTTAAATACCGACTCCTGCAGCCCAACAGAGCGAAACATCACTAAAAATGGTCATTTGGGATTCATCCACATTCAGACTCGACAGGCAGTGCAGTATCTGACAGCAGAAGCTGGAATTTCTGAACTTACTGTCACACAGCTCACTATTTAGGGAGTACAGAGCCGTTTGGGACTCAGCCTGGATTTGACGTGACTTCTGACTGAAACACAGATATTTAAAGCGTGTAAAACATTCAGGTGACGTTCTTTAGACTTTTATACTGCTGTTTTACAGTTAATCATACTGTAAGTCCTTTAATTCGAGCCTGTGATATTATTAATGGAGCTGTTTAGCATGTTTGCTGTCTTTTAGCCTGTTAGCTAGCTGACCAGCTCAGTTCTAGATATGAAAATACCTTTTCAGGCCCTCAGTTTAAACAGAACCGGGTTTTTACTTCATCAGTACACTCAGTGCTCCATGTGATCAGTGTTAGAGTCAAAGATTAATCCATTAACAGCAGAAGGGTTTTTCATGCCGTGGCGCAGTGATACAGAGTTTGGTTGTTGTGAGGCGGAACGATCCGTCTTATAGTGTTAACCTCCCAGGCTTAATACATAATAAGGCATATTATTCAGTAACTACACTGAGAAAAATTGCATGTTGTGAAGTAAAATTATTTTAAATATAGTCAATAAATCTAATATTTCTCCTGTTGAGATTGTTGTAAGCTTAATTTTAGATTATTAAACTTATTTCTAGACATTTTTCTTGTTTTAAATGATTTTATTAAGTGAAAATTATCTCACTATAGTGGCAGATAATTTGGCTTGTTATAAGAAATGAGCTTGAAACCAGCTAAATCATCTGCCACTACAGTGGGATCATTTCACTTGATAAAATAACCTAAAACAAGTAAATAATGTCTAGAAATAAACTAAATAATCTTATAAAAAGTGCACAACCATCTCAAAATGGAAAATTTTAGATACATCGACTAGATTTCAAGATCATTTCACTCAACAAGATACTATTTTTCTGCAGTGTACAGGGACTCCAATGCAAACTGGTTGAGCTAACTGTAGGTTATAGGAGTGTGTAATAAACGTGGCCTTTTAAGGGTTAAACACATCCTCTACAGAGGACAGACTTCTGAACATTTTAATACACAATTATTTTTTATCTACTGAGTTTAACATGCTGAGAAACACTTAAACACAAAATGTCACCTGAGCAAAAGTTATGGCAGTTTTATTTTTTCCAATATTTTAATCTAAGTTAGAAATCGTGCACGAAATCTCGCAGTGAAAGGCATATTTAAGTTTGTCCCCTGTGGAGGACGTGTTCAGGGGGCTCATATCAAGTTTTCTTCCTCTTGCATTTAGGGAGTTTTTCCTTTCCACTGTCGCCATTGGATAAGATCATTCAGTTCGCTAACGCTAACTTCATCTCTCACTTTTGAGCCTCATATTAAGCTCGTCACCAAAACTGCTTTTTATCATCTGCGTAACATTGCATTGTCACGAGTGACACTGACGCTAAAATGTTGATCAATTCTCTCGCATCGATTACTGTAACTCACTTTTCTATGGCCTTCCAGCTAAAACTAATCAACCGTTTTCAGAACATCCTAAACTCAGCAGCCAGGGTTCTCACCTCCACCAAGCGCTCAGCTCATATCACTCCTGCTCTTCGACAGTTGCATTGGCTTCCTATCAGTTCTAGGATTAAGTACAAAATCCTTCTTCTTACCTTCAAGGCTCTACATGGTCTGACTCTGACACACCTTTCTGATCTCATTTCATTGTATTGTCCCTCTCGCGCTCTCCGATCTTCTAATTCTGGACTCCTCATAGTTCCCTCAACTAGATTGTCTACTGTGGGTGGCAGATCTTTCAGTGCTGCTGCCCTCAAACTCTGGAATTCTCTACCTTCCACTCTTTGTAATTGCTCGTCTTTGTCTTCCTTCAAATCTCTGCTAAAAACCTTTCTTTTTTCTTCTCTTTAGCCTTCTAGATTTTTTTTGACACTATGTAAAGCGTCCTTGGGTTTGTGAAAGGCGCTATATAAGTTAAACTTATTATTATTAATACAGTAACCCAGACAAAGTGTAGCTTACATCAGAGCCTGTTGAGTTTATAGAGATTTGTCGATCGTTATTTTGCAATTGGCCAATTCAATTATCATTAACTATTCACTGCAGCCTGAAACCTCACATTTCACCATGACTCATGATTTGTTTTGGTATAAGTGAGAAATATTATTGAAAATAAAGTCTATTTGTATCTGGAGAAACGGTTTACACAGATAATTATACATACAATATACCAAACCTTTTTCCTTCGGATTTTCATGTTTCAAAGTAGCCTAGAAATATTATTTTGGGCACAAAATCACATTGTATTGAATACTAATATAGTGACATTGGCGACGCTCATGGGGGCTCGGACCTGGATTTTTCTGTAAAGCTGCTTGCGGTAAAAAGCACTATATAAACAAACCCTGGCTTGACTTGATATCAGAGAAAACTGAAGAGAACATTTTGCCAAATGTTGCTAATGGTGCTTCAACAGTTCTTTAGGAAAGAAAATGGTTCTATGTAGAACCATGAACACTCAAAGAACCCCTTGCACAATTAAAATGGTTCTTCAGACTGATGGTAAATGTACATGAATGTGCTGTAGTTGGTTCTATATAGAACTTTTTTGAAAAGGGTTCCTCTATTGTTACAAGCTTGACATTGTAACAATAGCAGAACCCTTTTGGGTGCTATATAGAACCCTTTTCAAAAAAAGGTTCTATATAGAACCTATACATATATATATATATAGATCTGCAGCACATTGTCTATCAATCTAAAAACCAGCAACAAGCAGACCGGTTCACCCAGTTGGTCCTTCATAGCCTAGAAACTGTAACTCTGCCCGGATTCCTCTGAAAAGCTTTACAATGAGCTGCAGCAGATCTGTGAATCTGAAAACTCGCCCAGTTTCCCAAGAGTTTGGAGTGAAGAGTGACTGTTCCTCATTTCTCACACTGAAGACAGAAGAGGAGACGAGGAAGATCTCAGTTACTGTGAGGAAGAGCGCAGAACCGCACTAGAACAGAGACTCTACAGAAGAGGAGACGAGGAAGATCTCAGTTACTGTGAGGAAGAGCGCAGAACCGCACTAGAACAGAGACTCTACAGAAGAGGAGACGAGGAAGATCTCAGTTACTGTGAGGAAGAGCGCAGAACCGCACTAGAACAGAGACTCTACAGAAGAGGAGACGAGGAAGATCTCAGTTAATGAGAGGAAGATCGCAGAACCGCACTAGAACAGAGACTCTACAGAAGAGGAGACGAGGAAGATCTCAGTTAATGTGAGGAAGAGCGCAGAACCGCACTAGAACAGAGACTCTACAGAAGAGGAGACGAGGAAGATCTCAGTTAATGAGAGGAAGATCGCAGAACCGCACTAGAACAGAGACTCTACAGAAGAGGAGACGAGGAAGATCTCAGTTAATGAGAGGAAGATCGCAGAACCGCACTAGAACAGAGACTCTACAGAAGAGAAGACGAGGAAGATCTCAGTTAATGTGAGGAAGAGCGCAGAACCGCACTAGAACAGAGACTCTACAGAAGAGGAGACGAGGAAGATCTCAGTTACTGTGAGGAAGAGCGCAGAACCGCACTAGAACAGAGACTCTACAGAAGAGGAGACGAGGAAGATCTCAGTTACTGTGAGGAAGAGCGCAGAACCGCACTAGAACAGAGACTCTACAGAAGAACAGCTGATAAAACAAACATTTACTGACATTGAAGCATCAGCGCCGCTATGGAGAGAGAGAGACAGAACATGGAACCCCACGAATAAGCAGGGGCTATTCCACACACTGCATATATCTACCTATTCAGCCTACAGCAGTTTAACCCCGCCCACTCACGCCTACATTATAAGAAGTGTTTCAGCCAGGACTGCTTTTTAGCCTTTGTGTGGTGTTCAGGTCTGTGGGACCCATTTTCACTGTTTACCAAAAGAAAAACTGATGTGATTTATTATTATTTCAATCTCAGATTCTTGTCCTTTGCTCATTTTCTGTGAAGAACATATAAAATGACCCATTTTCAGTGTCTTCACTCTGTTCACCCCCCACACATTTATATTACACACGTGGTGCTGGGTGAACCTGCGGGGAGTAAAAGTGTGGAGGTGCTGTGTCCTTCACTCTGTTCTCCTCCTACATGGCCTGCTGTTAGTGTGTGTGTTTGTATATATATATATGTGTGTGTGTGTGTGTGTGTGTGTGAGGGTGTACAACATGGACAGGCTGCTGCTGCTGCTGACTGGCTACAGCTGCTAAAGGAGAACCCTACGCTGGACACGTGTGATATTTTAAACATCTGGTATTTTTACATAAATTGTTATGGCTGTATTGATTTAAATAAACAATAATGTGGTGGGTCCACCAGACCACTGAGTAACACACACATCAACACCACACACGGGTTAAATGAGGCACAAAACAGAACAGCCAATTAGCACAGAGCTCATTTGGGTCATTCTACACAAACGTCCATTTTTGTGTCCCTAGCGTTTACAGATATATTACACTTGAAAAACATGTTAGAGTTACAATTTATTTATATTTTAAAATAAAACAATAAGTTATTTTAACAATTACACCTTCAGCCATCAATTTAACAATATTGGTTTTTAAATCAATTCTATAAAATTCAAGCACCACAGAAGAGCTCGTCCTCACAGTCATGTGTGAAGGCTGAGGCCTTATTTTGAAGAAAAAGAAAACACATTTTTCTGCAATTTTAACTACAATAATCTATACATGACTATGGAATATATCATTTAAATGACATAAAGAAAACAAATGCCAAATAAATATTATAAAATATATAATGAAAGTCCCCAGGAGTCGTGTCACTGGGGTTACTGCATAACAAAAAATCTCTTATTTTGAAATAAAAGTCACACTGATGACATCACTTGGCTTCCTTTACCTGTTTTCTGAGGATCTATGAAGAAAAGCACATGGTGAGTCCACTGAGTCTTTCAGTTATCAGAGATTTTCTCATTCAGCTCATGATTTCATATGAAGCTTTTAGCTGAAGTCACTGGTGTGACCGACTTTATTCTGAGGTCATTGTGAAAAAATAGAATACAAATGGATTAAATTCCATATTTTAGTGGATATTCCATGATTGACAGCATGTGGTTTGATGCTCTGCAGCAGCCATTTAGTAAAATGCATTGTTCATAAAAATGTCTCTGGTGTTCCTTTATTATGTGGAACACCAGTGAGGATCAGTAACACCAGTGACTCCTATGGAGAGATAGAAAAGTGGACGTTTCTGTAGAATGACCCATTTACATATATCAGTCCAAAAACACCTGTTTGATTTTAAAACATAAAATCAGTCATGCAAAAAGGGATTACAACCGTTTTTGGGTACATAAACACACGGAATGAAGTGAGGCATAAGAAGAGTGGAGGATATGAGCCCTTTAACTTCTCTTCACTCAGAAAACCAACTAACCGCTGGATTTGACCTCAAACGTTTGCGTACGACTGGTCGTTTACGTGTGTAGTGTAAGTTGGTGTGAGTTCTGGACTGAGGCTTACCGGAGTGGCGACGATGCCGGAGTCGGGGGTGTGTTCCACGGAGAGAGGAGTGTGAGTGTCGCTGAGCTCAGAGTAGTGAGAGGAGTGAGATTTGGGGAAACTGCCACTGCTGGTGTTCACTCCTGAGGAACTGCAGAGAGGAGAACGTCAGAAGGACGTGAGAGAAGCACACCCAAAAGAGGGAACACAGTTTTTACAGCTGAATACAATTTTACCGTTCAAAATTTTGGAACCACTTGCAATATTATTAAACATTGTTACGTTACTCAATGATGTAAATAATGTACATTTAAATATTACAGACTAGACACCAGGATATTTCAAAGTATTATGAGAACAATAGGAAGGTATTCAATTATTAATAATAAACCATATATTAATATAGTCTATAGGAACCCACTTCTACACATTTTTATGCACAATTATTGTTTATTTGTTGAATTAACATATTTGGGGAAAAAACAGCAAAGACAGAGGTGGGTGTTTCTAATAAAGTGGCCAGTGAGTGGAAGTACAAGGTAGGTGTTTCTAATAAAGTGGCCAGTTAGTGGAAGCACAAGGTAGGTGTTTCCAATAAAGTGGCCAGTGAGTGGAAGTGGCCAGTGAGTGGAAGCACAAGGTAGGTGTTTCCAATAAAGTGGCCAGTGAGTGGAAGCACAAGGTAGGTGTTTCTAATAAAGTGGCCAGTGAGTGGAAGTGGCCTGTTAGTGGAAGCACAAGGTAGGTGTTTCCAACAAAGTGGCCAGTGAGTGGGAGCACAGGGTAGGTGTTTCTAACAAAGTGGCCAGTGAGTGGAAGCACAAGGTAGGTGTTTCTAATAAAGTGACCAGTGAGTGGAAGCACAAAGTAGGAGTTTCCAATAAAGTGGCCAGTGTGCATAAATCCATATGCATACAACACTAGCACACTGGTGAAAACCTTGCAAACATAACCCTAACCTAAACACTCAACAGAGTAAGTAATTTGAACCTTAATTTAAAGGGGAATTTCACTGATTTTTCAAAATTTCTGCGTAATTCAGTGGTTGAGAGTAAACAAAGACATCCAGAGTGGTTTGATGTGAAATGGTCTGGTTCCTGTCACCACCACTGTGAACAATTCTGACTCAGTAAGTTTCTCTAGAACCACACCAAACCACTCTGAGTGGCTCTGTTTACAGCTTAAGCATTTCATTTAATTATATAGAGATAAAAATCAGTGAAATTCCCCTTTAACTGAATGTGCACTCTGGAGAAGGCAGGTTTTGGGTAAATCAGGCCCGGAGACGCTGGCCGGCTGTAAGGAGAGCCGTAGCTCTGCTGAAATAAGGCTTAGGTTACCGTGAACTCTGCACTCTGTGCCGGATTAAAGCCGTCGCCATAACAGCCGGATACCTGAGCACACCTGAGCTCGCTGCGTTCTAACGCAGGTGAACGAGATTTCACAAGACGCCCAAATACTTCTTCTACAAAAACTTTAATACCGTGAACAGCTTCAGGGTCACGACAAGCCAGACGAGATGGGCACAGCACAACTTCACATGCATGCAACACACACACGCAGCAGAACAACAGAACCGAACCGAGTCGGGCAAAAGATTCATTCCATAATTAACCTACGGTTTCATGCTCACTGTGCGACTCACCTCTCGGACATGTCCTCCTGGTGGCATTTAACACGCACTGAAAGGGTCCATGGAGCAGAAGGAGTCCGAGCTTTCCCATAACGGCATCGCGGTGGACGGACGACTCATCAGCGAATCGGTCTGTGTGAACGACTCTTCTAAACGAATCGGACGAATCGACTCGCAATAAGAGCGACTCCAGACTCCAGACAGGGCAGAACGCTGAACGTCCACCATTGTGCTGCATGAACACTCATACAAGATGGTTCTTCAAGGGTTCTTTAGTTAAGGCAATCTATATAGAACCATTCCACGCATAAATGGTTCTTTGCATGGAACCCTGACGAAAAAAAGAAAACACAGAAACCATCAGGTGTTTCTGTTGGTTCCTGATGGTTTTGAATGTGTTTTGGCTTCTTTAATGGGTCCATATAACAGTGTAAAGGATCCTAAAGGCTTAACAAGTGGTCAGTGGCTGATTCCAAATGTATTTAGAGGTTTCCTAATGGGATCTAAAGGTCTTCTACAGGAAACTAGTGGTCGCTACTGGAAACCATTAAGCCAGTTCCCATTAGAAAGCAAAACCTGGTTTTAATACTAATGGTTTCTAATGGACCCTTTTCAGCAGGGCAGTTAGATGGAGAGTGTTGTATATGGTTCTATATTCAACCTTTTTGAAAATGGGTCTATATAGAACCAAAATGGGTTCTTCTATTGTGTAAGCTGTTAACAGCAGAACCTTTTTTGGTGCTATACAGAACGCTTTTCAAAAAGTTCTGTATAGCACCGTATACAACACATTCTCCACCAGTCTGACGAACCATTTCACCATGCAGAGAACCATTTAAGCATGAAAAGGTTCTATATAGAACTCATGGTTCTGAATAGAACCATTCCCATTACTAAAGAACCCTTGAAGAACCATCTTTTATGAGGGTGTATGTTTGGAGAGAGACCATTTTACTTTCTGAATATGAAACTTCCCTAACATAAGAAACTGTTTATGATACGTAATTGTCTTACTTCAAATTAATCGGATCAAAATAACATAAAACATCAAATACAATCATCCAAAGGGTTCTTTGAGTGTTCATGGTTGTATGTAGAACCATTTTCTTTACTAAAGAACAACTAAAAATCCAAAATAAATCCTTGACTATGAATTCAAGTTGTTCCAACTAAGTTGTTTAAGTTCTACCAACATTTCTAATTTCAGACAAGTGCCGGCCCACCGGATGACGAATCAAATGAATCACAACTCGCACAGTTGGAACCCCATTAAGCGAGTGATTCAAATGAGTCGACTCGGTAAAGTGAGTCGCTTGGAGGGGCGGAGCTGCAGCGCTGGCTCGTTGCTAGGCAACGCACAGCCCCGGTTCACATCCTCGGTAACCCTCAGCCAGACAACAATGTAATATTCTGTTCTATAAATATTGTTTATTGCTATAAAAATGTACATTTATATACATCTACATATACATCTTTATACACTATCAATGTTATAGATTATTACATCACCTATAAAAATGACTGTCATGACAAAACCTCTCCAAAATTGTTGCAGGAGAAGCAAAAACATTCAGAAATGTAAATGGAAGTTAAATAAGACTGATTTCTAAATAATTCTGGAGCATTTCTATTGGCCCATTCATCATGAAATTTTAAAACATTGTGAAGGACAGAGCTACAGTATAAGGCTTTGTTACGACAGCGACAGTATGATATTGGTTCAAAAGGCTCATGCTATGCACGTGCCCTCCTGAAAAGGGACTACTTATGTTGTTTATGTTGTCTGTTGGTTAAAAGTATATGAAATGTGTTATTTGTGATATGCTGTGTCGGGGGGCATTGGTGTTTGTGTGTGAGTTGGGGGTCGCCGTCAGGGTGAAGTGTATGGTTAATGGTGACCTCCCCCTTGAGTACAGCGTTTTGTATGTGTTCAATAAAGAGCACTTCTCACAGCAGATCATGGCCACCCCTGTGTCTTACGCTCTGCTGACGTCACACTGGTGTCAGAAGTGGGATAATCCCGCCCCAGTGGTTAGGGGAGAAATGGTGTTTCAAGAACCTCCCAGGCAAATGAGGAGAGTGGAAGACCTCGCTTGGCGTCGGCAGGTCATCTTCCAAGGAGGCTGTGCTGTGGGGTGCTCTACCATATGCTGGAGGAGCCACAGCTGCAGGGGTGTGGCCCTGGGGTAAGATTGGGGGTGCTCGCCATTGAGGAGCGAGTGTCTGCAGACATCAGTGTTTATAGAAATGGACAAAATACAGACTTCAAACTGTCCTTTTAGGGGCTTATTTCACTTTTTATTTTTTCAAACCAAGTCATACGACTTTATGTATTAACGTCACATTCGCTGACTCGAAAGTCAGTCCGGCTCGATGTTTAGGACTCAAATGCAAGGTCAATATTATACTGATGAAGATATGATGACAGTAAATAATTCACTCACATCCTTGGAAGACGCATCCTTCACCAAGTGTTGAGTTCTCTTTGAATTCTCTTTCAACACACTCGAAAAGTCCGATTCATCCACTTGTGGGGGTCCGAAGTACGACCGATGTGACAGAATGTTCTTCTGCATGTTGCATGCAATTACATATATCCACCAGAGAGGTCTCCAAATCCCCAAATATCACGTAGTGTTGCTTCAATTCTGTATTCTGTATCTTTCTTTCTGGGTTTCAGCCACCAGCCTTTGTTTGTCTGGCAGTGTCTGAGCTTAAGGGTACTTGTACTAGCTAGGATACATTCTCTGAGTGGACAACGTAAGTCGCTCTGGATAAAAGCGTCTGCTAAAAAATGTAAAGTGTGAATTTAGACATTGAGTTGGCACCACGCTAATTCGTAGGGTTACTTGTTAGCCACATTAGCCTTATAGCTCCACTGCTAAAACTAAAGAAGCAAACTTTAGACACCAAACTGACTGATGTCCTGACTGATCAGCTACGTTTTAAGTAAGAACTGTAAATTTGATTTTTGTCCTCTGTTGCTTTAATGTCAGAGTTAAATTGAGCTGGAGGCTGAAGGTACCTGAGATATTTAGGGCATTAAATTAAACCGAAACTTGGCCGAAGGCCTTCTAGTCCTGTCGTGCAGAAACTGATGGCATCCAAAGGGGAAGCAGCTGCAGTTCTGGACCAAAGCTGGTGAATTCAAACACACAATCTGTCCTCTATCCTGTCAGCTCCAGATTAGGCAGGGACAGATATCTCTTCTCCTGTGCCAAGTGCTACAGCTTTGCCAAATAGTGCTCCAGCACCCAAATGGACATATGCTGCATGTCTCCAGTGTTACCAATGACTAGAGCTGCCTCCGCAAATCCGGCCAAATAGAGCTCCTGTTTTCACGGAGCTTTACGGACTCTCTCCGATAACAGATGGTGTGCTGTGTTATAATGTCACAGCAATTCAGTGTCGCTGGAGATATTAAATCTTTTGACCTTCAAATATAAACCGGACACCAGTACATAACCATGCACAGAAAAGAAGGGGTTCTCCAAGGGTTCTTTAGTAAAGCCAGTAGTTACATGGAGCCATATGGGACAATTTTAAAAGAAATTCAATCAATTTTTCCAAATTTCAATTTAAGATGTAAACAGAGTCGTTCAGAGTGGTTTGGTGTGAAACGCTCTGTTCTAGATAAACTTAGAGTCAGAATTGTTCACAGTGGTGGTGATAGGAACCAGACGTCCACCTCTAAAAGCTCCTCACAGAAAGTTACTACAGTAAATGGTTATGAATTCACTGCCTGATGACTGAGACACTGTTTTATGATAGTTTTGAGAAGATTTTGGCCTTAAAATCTATTCATGGTGGAGGGATACATAATATGCAGGGTGCTGTGAGGCAAAATAGTCCCCAAAGAAAACTTATTATTTCAGATGTATGACTATTTTCTCATCATCAACATTCCATATAAACTCAGAAGACTCGTGTAGGTTCACTGGTGGTTTTAGATAATGCATAAAATGTTCCTATCACCACCACTGTAAAGACATCTGAACCATTTCACACCAAACCACTCTGGATCTCTCTGATTGCATCACAAACACTGAGTTATGTAGAAGTCAAACAAAGAAGCTGAACAATGGACTGACCACCCCAGAGTCCAGACCTCAACATCACTGAATGTGTTTGATTACTTCAGAAAATGATCAACCAGCTTCTAAGACTGAACTTTGGAGGTGTGTCTGCAGATTCTTTGAGGAACTGAAAGTGAGTCTCCTGAAAAGAATGGAAGCTGGAATAAAGGGAAAGACTGACTCACTGACTCACACAGCTGAGATTTGAGTTAGTTGTTGAGGCTTCTATGTCATTTTCTGTTAAATGTTTGTTAAATATTTGTTAAATGTTTGTCATTTTCAATTTTGACATAATTTGTAAATACTGTTGACTTTTACATTGTGAATAAATTTCATGATAAATGGACCACAAGAAATGATCCAAAATGACTTGGAAATAAGTCTGGTTCCATTGACTTACATTAAAAGTAAAGTATGTTTTTTCCATAAAGTACTGATTTTGGAGAAATTAGGTTTTGTTCCAACAGTGATGATCAGGAATAACATAACCACCTCCTTGTTTCTGCGCTCATTGTCCATTTTATCAGCTCCACTTACTATATAGGTGCACTTTGTAGTTCTACAGTTACAGACTGTAGTCCATCTGTTTCTCTGATACTTTGTTAGCCCCCTTTTACCATGTTCTTCAGTGGTCAGGACCCCCATGGACCCCCACAGGACCGTCTTTCAGCACTGCAGTAACACTGATGTGGTGGTGGTGTGTTAGTGTGTGTTGTGCTGGTACGAGTGGATCAGACACAGCAGAGCTGCTGAAGTTTTTAAACACCTCAGTGTCACTGCTGGACTGAGAATGGTCCACCAACCAAAAATATCCAGCCAAAAGTGTCCTGTGGGCAGCGTCCTGTGACCACTGATGAAGGACTAGAGGATGACCAACACAAACTGTGCAGCAGCAGATGAGCTATCGTCTCTGACTTTACATCTACAAGGTGGACTGACAAGGTAGGAGTGTCTAATAGAGTGGACAGTGAGTGGACACAGTGTTTAAAAACTCCAGCAGCACTGCTGTGTCTGATCCACTCGTACCAGCACAACACACACTAACACACCACCACCACGTCAGTGTTACTGCAGTGCTGAGAATGATCCACCACCCAAATAGTACCTGCTCTGTGAGGGTCCATGGGGGTCCTGACCACTGAAGAACAGGGTAAAAGGGGGCTAACAAAGTATCAGAGAAACAGATGGACTACAGTCTGTAACTGTAGAACTACAAAGTGCACCTATATAGTAAGTGGAGCTGATAAAATGGACAATGAGCGTAAAAACAAGGAGGTGGTCAGAATGTTATGCCTGATCGGTGTATAATAAATTAAGGTAGACCTGAAAGATGACAAATGAAAGACGTCTTCTTCCACATTCATGTTTATTTCTGAATTCGAGAATACAGCTGGTGTTTTTTTTTAATCCCTGTACACCAAACACCATCTCTGCCCCAGTCTTGGGGTCACCATGGCAACCTCGCTTCACTACCTGTACATCCATAAACCTTTCACTAAGATAAGACCTTACCTTATAAGGCATATCAGTTTTTCAGCAGTACTTCAGCCACAATAATAATAATAATAATAATAACAATAATAATAATAATAATAATAAAAATAACAATAATAATAACAATAATAATAATAATAAATAAAGAAAAAAGATTTACTAAGATTCAGAGTCATTTATATATATATATATATATATATATATATATATATATATATATATATATATATATATATATTATACTGTATGAGTGAGAGAAAGAAAAAAACTGCACCTTTTTGCAATAAATATCTGCTTTCCTCTATGTAACACAACAGCAAATATACAGTAACGCAGAGTGCAGAATGACTGCATGCTCTAAAAGGCTGGTGAAAAATAAAAGATGTGAATCAGCCCATAAATACATATTAAACGTGTGTTGCTTTTACCGATATGGTAATATTTCATAGATATTATATTTACAACTTCTCCTCCAGTGGTTAAAGCTGAGAGTATCAAAACACAATCACATTTTATAATATACAGTGGTTTGCAAAAATGTGGGCCAAATTTCTGTCACTGTGAATAGTTAAGCGAGTAGAGGATGAACTGATCTCCAGAAGGCATAATGTTAAAGATGAAACATTTTTTTTAACATCTTGAGCAAGATTAGTGTATTATTTTTGTTTTGTACAATATTAGAATGGAAAAAGGAAAGGAGCCCCATGCATCTTTTGGGCACCCACAGAGATTTGAGCTCTCAGCTATCTTTTCCCAAAGTCCCAGACCTTAATTAGCTTGTTGGTGCCAGGAATTGTTCACAAACATTATTAAGAATTGTGCAAGTAGCCGTTTCCTCAGTTTGTAATGTAATTAAGTAATGGTAGTTAACAGGAACGATGGAGGTCAAGTTAACGTCTAGAAGACCGGAAAACCTTCCGAACTGCTCGCAGGATTGGAGAAAGGCAAATCAAACCTCTCCTACATCCTCACCAGAAAATTCAGCATCAGATGTTTGGGACAACTAAACAAGCCTGATGTATTTTGGAAACGAGTCCCGTTGAATGAAGTTAAACTAGAATGTTTTTGGCCACAATGAGCAAAGGTACGTTTGGAGAAAAAAAGCATCCAAGCTTTGATGAAAAGATGCCTCCTCCACTGCTAAGCATGGGGTGGATCATTTATGCTTTGGGCTTGTGTTGCAGCCAGCAGTACAGAGAACATTTCACTGGTAGAGGGAAGAATGGATTAAATTAAATACCAGCAAATTCTGGAAGCAAACTTCACACCGTCTGTAAAAAAGCTGAAGATGAAAAGAGAATGGCTTCTACAACAGGATAATGATCCTAAACACACCTCAAAATCAACAAAGGAATGCGAAAAGAGGTGCAAGCTGAAGGTTTTGCCATGGCCCTCACAGTGCCCCGACCTAAACATCACCGAAAATCTGTGCATAGACCTCAAAAGAGCAGTGCATATAAATCTTACACAATTAAAAGCCTTTTGTAAGGAAGAATAGGCGAAAATCACCCAAACAAGAACTGAAAGACCCTACAAAAACTGTTTACAAGCTGTGATACTTGCCCAACGGGGTGATCATGCAGGGTGCCCAAACATCTGTGGGCCCTTTTACTTTTGTGTTATTTTGAAACTGTAAAAGATGTAAATAAAAAAGTAATCTTGCTTAAAAAATTAAAGAAATGTTTTTTTTTTTTCCCCCGATTTTTCTCCCCAATTTAGTCGTCTCCAATTCCACCCGCTAGTTAGCACTCCCCCAGTCACATGATGCTATCAACGCTAGGAGGGTGAAGGCTAACACAGGCTTCCTCCGAGACCTGTGAAGCCACCGCTTCTTTTCGAACTGCCGCTCACGCAACATCACTGGACAGCCGAACGCGCTCGGAGGAAAGCGCCAACCGCCAGATCTGTTACGTCAGCTAACAGACGCCTGCGCTGACTAGCATCGCGCTGAGTGATGGGGGGGAGAAGGAGGGGCCATCCTACCCACCCAGAGAGAGCGAGGCCAATTGTGCTCTCTCGGACTCCCGGCTACGGACGGCTGTAGCATCACGGGATCAAACTCGCGATCTCCTGATGAGGGCCAACGCTTAGACGGTTGCGCCACTCGGGAGCGAAATGTTTCATCTTTAACTTTATGCCTTTTGGAAATCGGTTCATCTTCCACTCGCTTAGCTAAGGAAATTTTGACCGGGGTGCCCAAACTTTTGCATGCCACTATATACTTATACATTATGTGTATTCATGGTTCTTGTCATAGAAGCCATGAAGGAAAAATGGCATTTGCTGTGAGATTGCACTCTTTAGGCCTTGTGTTTCTAAGAGTACACGCGTGAATCGGATTAAACTTGTGTATCAGCAGAATCAAACTCTTGGTCAAAAGGATCGACGACTTCAGGGTTCATCACTCTGCCCATGAAAAGAAGAGATCCTGCAAGAGAACCAAGCACAATTCACAATAGCAATACAAGCAGCTAACACATGTTCTCTGACTGACGCAAATTTGTTTACTGAAATAAAAAAGAGCTCTATAATGTTCATATGATCCACACAGTCACTCTGACAGACTGTAATACACTACAGGAAGTGTAGGGGGCGATATGGCTTCTACTGTTTCATTTAAAAAGCTCTATAATGTTCATATGATCCACACAGTCATTCTGACAGACTGTAATACACTACAGGAAGTGTAGGGGGCGATATGGCTTCTACTGTTTCATTTAAAAAGCTCTATAATGTTCATATGATCCACACAATCACTCTGACAGACTGTAATACACTACAGGAAGTGTAGGGGGCGATATGGCTTCTACTGTTTCATTTAAAAAGCTCTATAATGTTCATATGATCCACACAGTCACTCTGACAGACTGTAATACACTACAGGAAGTGTAGGGGGCGATATGACTTGATTAAAAGTTATACAACAAAATGGGTCATTGAAAAGTGCCTATGCTTAGAGTAGTTAGTCTGCAGGTGAGCCGTACCTGTCCTCCTGTTTCTGATGACGAAAAAGAAGGGATGGTCAGCCATGACCTGAGGGTACAGCACCAACGTCCTGGTCAAAGCGATCATCCCTGAAGGAGACAACATACTACTATTACTGAAAATCAGCACAAATACGGACCGTACCACATCAGCCAACTCCACACAATGACAAGAGCAAACCTCTACGGCCACTTTATCAGGAACCCCTCTCTTGTAGTTCCACTGTGCTGGTACACAGTTAGAGACAGTAGCTCATCTGTTGACGCATAGTTTACGTTAGCCATCCTCTAGCCCTTGCATCAGTGGTCAGTTTCTAATAATGTGGCCAGTGAATGGAAGCACAAGGTAGGTGTTTCTAATAAAGTGGCCAGTTAGTGGAAGTACAAGGTAGGTGTTTCTAATAAAGTGGCCAGTTAGTGGAAGTACAAGGTAGGTGTTTCTAATAAAGTGGCCAGTGAGTGGAAGCACAAGGTAGGTGTTTCTAATAAAGTGGCCAGTGAGTAGAAGCACAAGGTAGGTTTTTCCAATAAACTGGCCAGTAATTGGAAGTGTAAGATAGGTGTTTCCAATAATGTGGCCAGTGAGGGGAAGCACAAGGTAGGTGTTAAAATTGATGCTGAGTGTATTATTAGAATGACAACAGGGGGCGCTATTAGCATTCATTAATACCTCCGACCAATTTACTGCAGTGACGTGAAAAAAATAAACTATTTGGACACAGAAAAGGACAAGACAGCAGGAGAGTGGGAGGGAAAATAAAGAAGAGAGAGAGAGAGAGAGAGAGAGAGATAGAGAGAGGGGGTGAGCTGTGTGGGGGAGAAAAAAAAGGAGGGGATGAGAAGGAAAAAAGTAGGAGTATAAAAGGCGTACGCTCAAAAACAGAGAAAAGTCTGAAATGGCAGTGAACAAGAAGCGAATGAGACAAACGCTCTCTCCTCAATAGACAGTGTTACTACAGGAATGTGACCAGGATAGAGAGAATAAACAGATGAGTTTAATAGTGACAGAGAGAATAAACAAACGGGTGTGACCTGATCCTGCCGCTCCCTCCGCTCCCTCTTCCGTCACCTCCAGATATGACTTCTGGACCGCTTTACCGATAAACAGATCACTACCATCTACAGTCAGAGACAGAGAGAGAGAGAGAGAGGGGGAGAGAGAGAGAGAGAGAGAGAGAGAGAGAGAGTGAAAGATGAATAGAAGGATGGAGAGAAAGGAGTGCATGTACATGAAAAGTGAAATCTTCCAGTCAGGCTCAGCAGCTCTGAGCTGAATAATTCATTAAGCTGTGTGTTTGTGTCGCAGAGCTGTGTCTATAATTCACATCTTTCTCCCCAGAATACAGAAACATGCTTACTGGGGATGCACTGATACGGGAATTCTGGACCGATGCCAATATCCGATATTTTACGTATACCTATCTGCGGATGTTGATGTCCAATATTTCATCCAGTGTTCATGCTTTGATACAGAACCATTTTCTAAAATAAAGACACCCTTAAAGAAACACCTTTTTAAAGAGGCTATATAGAACCATAAACGGCACATTCAATCTGAAGAACCATTTCACTATGCAAAGAGTCCTTAAAGCATGCAAAAGATTCTTTGAGTGTTCATGGTTCTACATAGAACCAAGAACCATTTTTACTAAAAACCCATGAAGAACCATCTTGTTAAGAGTGTAAAACATGAATGGACCATAAACATTTTTCATGTGCATGCTTTAGCCTAAAATGATTAGGTTTAGGTTTTTAAAGCTACGTTCACACTACAAGCCTCATTTTCTGCTCTAATCCGATTTTCTGCTCAAATCCGATCTCTCTGACTCGATGGTTCACACTCGTTTAGGTAAGAGACTCAAATCTGTCATTAATGTGACGAACCGGCGTCCTGAAATGACCCTCATGAGCTCATCCTACTCAGTAACGTCACGTGAATGAATCACGTTCATCATCAGCACAAACTAACGAGCAGAACGAGCTTCGCTGAGAAGATCATTAACTCTGATCAGCTCTCAGCTTCATTATTAGAGCGAGACGAAGGAGAAAAAGGTGAGATGAGCTGCTTTTCCACCGTTTACAGGCTTTAACTTCTGTTCGGCGCTGCTGCCATGGTAACGCTGAATGATGGTCACGCGCAGTGGAAATAAAGCACATGAATTCCGATCTGAGCTTCACATTAAGGTCGCATGGCCACAAATCGGATACGTATCCGATCTAGGACCACACATGAAAGTGGCTCAGGTCGGATTTGAAAAGATCAGATTTGTGTGTCCACACAGCTCTGAAAACATCGGATCTGAGTCACATTAGGGCAAAAAATCTGATTTGTGCCACTTCAGCCTGGTAATGTGAACGCAGCCACTGAGGCTCAGGTTAGATTTGAAAAGATCAGATTTGTGTGTCCACATAGCCCTGAAAACATCAGATCTGAGTCACATTAGGAAAGAAAATCAGATTTGTGCCACTTCAGCCTGGTAATGTGAACGTAGCCATTGAGGCTCAGGTTAGATTTGAAAAGATCAGATTTGCGTGTCCACACAGCTCTGAAAACATCAGATCTGAGTCACATTAGGACAGAAAATCAGATTTGTGCCACTTCAGCCTGGTAATGTGAACGTAGCCATTGAGGCTCAGGTTAGATTTGAAAAGATCAGATTTGTGTGTCCACACAGCCCTGAAAACATCAGATCTGAGTCACATTAGGGCAAAAAATCAGATTTGTGCCACTTCAGCCTGGTAATGTGAACGTGGCCATTCAGGCTCAGGTTAGATTTGAAAAGATCAGATTTGTGTCACATTAGGGCAAAAAATCTGATTTGTGCCACTTCAGCCTGGCTATGTGAACGTAGCCAAAGCGGCTCAGGTCAGATTTGAAAAGATCAGATTTGCGTGTCCACATAGCCCTGAAAACATCAGATCTGAGTCACATTAGGGCAAAAAAATCTGGTAATGTGAACACAGGCTGCGTTTACTGTGTTGTTCTTCCTCATCTTTGTACATCGATTTTGACTCGGTTATGTTGTCTTCATTAGACAAACGTCTGTGGTGAGCAGACGAATGCATTATGCATTGCAGTGTCGGCTGTGTTTATGTGAATCCTGTATTCCGGTTGATTGCTATTGTTTTTATTCTACAAAGTTGCCCCACCCACTTTTTCACAGACCAACCCAAAAATTGGTTTCTGCCACCACTGACACGAACAGACTCAGACTCCTCCCATTAACCCAAAGAGAACGAAAAAGGCAGCTTTATGATCCTTTAATGATTTTTGCCCAGTGTTTGACTGACGCATTCACAGCAGTGCTCAGCAGACAAAACACGCCGAATGAATTCCTAAGTGTTTCCATCTATTTTTAAACCCTGGTGGATGTTTTGGAGAAGAGCTCAACATTCAGACCGAAGAGAAACTGCAGTTCTGCCCTGAAGCTCAACACTTTCAGAAAATAATCATCACACGTCTGTGTGGAGCTGCCTCTCCCACGCTGCTCTCTGCCAGCGCAGCTTCTCTCCACACCCAAAATAACGCTCCGCCAGCAAAAACGGAGAGCATTCGGAAAATACAGCAGAAATATGACATTATTTTTAGAGACATGCAGAAGCAGCACAACTTCCTGTCTGCTGTTAGTCACTGTGTGTGGGAGTTCTGAGAGGCTAATATGAGATCTGGGCAGTAAAATGTCAATAATAATCAATAACTGCATAATCATAATAACAATAAGGGGAAAATGTGTGAATAAACTTTAAGCTGGCTTGACAAAGCCATTGCTATGGTATCCCAGGGGGTTGCTAATGTGTTGGTAGGCTGTTGCTATGGTGTCATGGATGTTTGCTAAAGTGTTGCTGTGCTATGGTATCCCAGGGGGTTGCTAATGTGTTGCTAGGCTGTTGCTATGATATCCCATGTGGTTGCTAAGGAGTTGCAAGGCTTTTGCTATGGTATCCCAGGGGGTTGCTAATGTGTTGCTAGGCTGCTGCTTTGATATCCCATGTGGTTGCTAAGGAGTTGCGAGGCTTTTGCTATGGTATCCTAAGCAGTCGCTAATGTGTTGCTTGGATGCTGCTATGGTATCACAGGTGGTTGCTAATGTGTTGCTAGGCTGTTACTATGGTATTGCAGGGGGTTGCTAAAGCATTGCTAGGTTGTTGCTATGGTATCCCAGGCAGTTGCTAAGGTGTTGCTAGGCCATTGATATGGTATCCTAGGCACTTGCTAAGGTGTTGCTGGGCAGTTGATATGGTATCCCAGGTGGTTGCTAAGGTATCCAAGATGGTTGCTTAGGTGTTGCTAGGCCATTGCTATGGTATCCCAAGTGGCTGCTAAGGTGTTACTAGGCCATAGCTATGGTATCGCAGATAGTTGCTAAAGTGTTGCTAGGCTGTTACAATGATATCCCAGGTGGTCGCTAAGGTGTTGCTAGGCCATTGCTATGGTATCCCCAGCAATTGCTAAGGTGATGCTTGCATGGTTTCCTAGGCGGTCGCTAAGGTGTTGCTAGGCCATTGCTATGGTATCCCCAGCAATTGCTAAGGTGATGCTTGCATGGTTTCCTAGGCGGTCGCTAAGGTGTTGCTAGGCCATTGCTATGGTATCCCAAGCAATTGCTAAGGTGTTGCTCGGCAGTTGACATGGTATCCCAGGTGGTTGCTAAGGTGTTGCTAGGCTGTTGCTATAGTATCCCAGGCACTTGCTAAGGTGATGCTAGGCTGTTGCTATAGTATCCCAGGTGGTTGCTAAGGTGTTGCTAGGCCATAGCTATGGTATCGCAGGTGGTTGCTAAAGTGTTGCTAGGCCATTGCTATGGTATCCCCAGCAATTGCTAAGGTGATGCTTGACAGTTGACATGGTTTCCTAGGCGGTCGCTAAGGTGTTACTAGGCCATAGCTATGGTATCGCAGATAGTTGCTAAAGTGTTGCTAGGCTGTTACAATGATATCCCAGGTGGTCGCTAAGGTGTTGCTAGGCCATTGCTATGGTATCCCCAGCAATTGCTAAGGTGATGCTTGCATGGTTTCCTAGGCGGTCGCTAAGGTGTTGCTAGGCCATTGCTATGGTATCCCCAGCAATTGCTAAGGTGATGCTTGCATGGTTTCCTAGGCGGTCGCTAAGGTGTTGCTAGGCCATTGCTATGGTATCCCAAGCAATTGCTAAGGTGTTGCTCGGCAGTTGACATGGTATCCCAGGTGGTTGCTAAGGTGTTGCTAGGCTGTTGCTATAGTATCCCAGGCACTTGCTAAGGTGATGCTAGGCTGTTGCTATAGTATCCCAGGTGGTTGCTAAGGTGTTGCTAGGCCATAGCTATGGTATCGCAGGTGGTTGCTAAAGTGTTGCTAGGCCATTGCTATGGTATCCCCAGCAATTGCTAAGGTGATGCTTGACAGTTGACATGGTTTCCTAGGCGGTCGCTAAGGTGTTGCTAGGCCATTGCTATGGTAACCCAAGCAATTGCAAAGGTGTTGCTCGGCAGTTGACATGGTATCCCAGGTGGTCGCTAAGGTGTTGCTAGGTCATTGCTATGGTATCCTAGGCACTTGCTAAGGTGTTGATATAGTATCCCAGGTGGTTGCTAAGGTGTTGCTAGGTCACTGCTATGGTATCCTAGGCACTTGCTAAGGTGTTGCTCAGCAGTTGATATAGTATACCAGGTGGTTGCTAAGGTGTTGCTTGGCTATTGCTATGCTTTTTTTCAGTTAGTAGAGTTAGCTGGATTTAACATTTCTCAGTTAGCAGAGTTAGCTAGCGTTAGCTATTTAACGTATTAAATTTAAATAAAAACTGTAAATAAACACAATTTTTGAACAAGGGATAGTCAAAGAAATCTACAAAGGCCTGCAGTGCTCCAGATTTCTTACATCTGATGAAACACAGAGTAATGCTGTTTTACAGTTCAATCAATGTTCCATTATCATCCAAAAACCAGCACTCAGATATGAGCTGAGTTTACTCAGACTGTATATGCCTTGAAGGCCCAGTAGGTGCACTGGCTTCAAAATGCAGACTATTATTTCTATATTTTTATTTATGCTTGATAAAAAAAGAAATAAGTCAAACTGAGCATTAAAGATGTAAATAATAATTAAATATATTTATTTATATCACATGACATGGCAAAATATATGGTTATAAGATCACTGGCCACATTACCCGGTTCTAGCTCATACCTGCTCTCTCCGCGGTCATGGCTGAGAGGTCAGCATCTTTAGTGAAGATGTTTTTGATGCCCAGTTGCTGCAGTGTGTCTTTCAGGTCGATCTTCTGCTCTACTTTAAACCTGCAAAAGGAGAAGAAAATGACTGACCAGAGCATTAAAAACCCACAAATTTGGTCCGCAGAATACAGAGTGAGAGAGAGGGATGGAAAAAAAGAGACTGAGAAGGTCAACAGAAGAATGAAGAGATGGACAGAAGTAGAAGAGGGATGAATAAAGGGCAGTTATGATGGACAGAAGGTGTGAAGGTCATTTCATCTCACTAACCTGGGAAGGTAAACCTCCACCTTCTGCTTCTTGACGTTGTTGGCCCACTCGTCCAGCAGCTGTGGCCTGATGATGGGCTCCAGCGTGGCCAGAGGAACCTCCTGCCTGGGCAGAACGATCATCATGCCGAGGTCCTCTCCTTCATACGGCATCTCCAGAACCTGGTACACGCCACCCGCCTCCGCAGAACCATCACTGAACTCACCTGGAGAACATACAGCATGCACTCATTATAATGCAGCACTAGAGGTGTTCTACACTCTTAAAAAAGATGGTTCTTTAAGGGCTCTTCAGTAAAGGGAACGGGAGCTCTATATAGAACCATTTCATGCTTAAATGGTTCTTTGCATCGTGAAATGGTTCTTCAGATCCATTCAGATCCACCAAAAAGGGTTCTTCTATTGTTACGAGCTTGACACTGTAGTTGTACACACCTAAAAATAAGGGTTCTTTAGTAAAGACAATGGTTCTATATAGAACCATGAACGCTCAAAGAACCATTTGCATGATTAAAACGTTCTTCAGATTAATGTAGAATGTGGTATATATGGTTCTATATAGTACCATAAAGGTTCTTCTACTGTAATGACATCAAGCTTGTATACAATAGTAATAACCCTTTTTGTTGCATTCACCATCAATCTGAAGAACCCTTTCATGCAAAGAACCATTTAATCATGCAAAGGGTGTTCATGGTTCTATAGAGAACTGTTTTCTTTACTAAAGAACCCTTGAAGAACCATATTTTTAAATGTGTCCCACAACCCTTTTTTGGTGCTATACAGAATCATACACAACACATTCTCCATCAATCTCAAGAACCATTTCACTATGCAAAGAACCGTTCAAGCATGTAATGGTACTATGTAAAACTCATAGTTCTAAATAAAACCATTTACTTTACTGAAGAACCCTTGAAGAACCATATTTAAGGGTGAGTTTAATGGAGGCTGATTAAATATTTGGTTTGGTGCCGGATTCAGGATGATGTGCTTTTATTTTCTGCAGACACACCTCCAAAGTTCAGTCTTAGAAGCTGGTTGATCATTTTCTGAAGTAATCAAACACATTCAGTGGTGTTGAGGTCTGGACTCTGGGGTGGTCAGTCCATTGTTCAGCTTCTTTGTTTGGTGTGTCCGTCTCCTTTTCTCAGTGAGGTTCTTCTTGATCAGCCACACATCCTTTCAGACCCACAGAGCTGAGTCGTCTTCTCACAGTGGAAGGATGGACAGAAACACCTGTGGATGTTTTCAGATCTGAAGCAGCTTGATTTTCTCCTCTCTCTCAGAGATGAAAGCTTTAAGTGCTGTTTATCTGATGGGGATCATATCTGAACTCCAGTAGGGGTGTTAGAAACATTATATCTTTAAAACTCACAATAAACTAAATTTTCTGAGATTTAGTAAGTTGTAACAGATAAAATGGAACCTGTAGTGCCACATATTATGAACAATACTAAAAATACTATAATAAACTTATTTTTTTTTGCATGACCTACAAAACCACAATGATTTTACTCAATGTTTTACAAACTGTGCTGAACTAAATCCATTTAAACAAGCCGAATTACACTCACTTTGTAATGAAACATGCAGCGGGTGTAATTTAAGTATTGGCGATATCCACAATATGCTCAGAATAGCAATTTGTGATGTAGTTGATCACAATAATGATCAATAACAATAACATATCATCATATTGCCCATCCCTAAACTCCAGTTTTGGAACCTCACATTGTCTTTCTTCTTCCAAGTGGATTATATAATATCTAATCTCAGAAAAATCTCATGAAAAATGAAGGACTTATACTTAAAGGTCATTCTGCCTGGAAAATAAATAAATGAAGGGTGGTCTCTGACTTTTGCACAGCTCTGTCTGTCTTCTATTTCTTTTGTTGCACCTTAAATGAACAGAAATCAACGGTGGTGCCAAGGAGAGAGGAAAGAGACGGATCAGGACGCTGGAGGAGAGGAGAGTATATTGACGTCAGTTTGCAGCACATCTCTCGTCTGAGTCTTCCTCACTAGTCAACACGTACAAGCTCCTCTAGATCACACCAAGCAACACTCCAAAGCTGCACCACATCCAACAGCTCTAAACAGTCTGCGTATGAGGCTATAATTCACAGTCACAGTCATAGTAATCGAGTGTATCTTGTAAATAATGAATCTAAACAAAAGTCTCAGAACGCAAGCAAATAGAAACGACACCAAACATGCCTTGGCTGACCAAATTACATTTGGGTGAATTGGAAATCTGCATGCATTTGTTTGTGTTGCCAAACTCTTTCTTTAAAACCACATTTTGAGGACCTTTATGCTGCCTTTAGGAAGCAGCGCTGAAGAACAACCTGCCCAACAGTATATTAAGATTAATTAATTAATTGATTAAGTGACCCTTTTTATCCCACAACGGGGAAATTTCACCTCCACATTTTTGACCCATCTGTGCAGTGAAACACCACATGTGTGGAGGTGAACACACACACTAGGGGGCAGTGAGCACACTTTCCCGGAGCGGTGGGCAGCCCTATCCGCAGCACCCAGGGGTTAGGTGGGGGTTAGGTGTCTTGCTCAAGGGCACTTCAGTCATGTACTGTCGGCTCAGAGGATCAAACCGGCGACCTTCTGGTCACAGGGCTGGGTCCCTAACCTCCAGCCCATGACTGCCCCCTACAGTGGTGCTTGAAATGTGAACCCTTGTGAATTTTCTACACTTCTGCATAAATTTGACCTAAAACTTCATCAGATTTTCACAGTCCTAATAGTAGATAAAGAGAACCAAATTAAACAAATGACACAAAAATTGAACTTGGTCATGTATTTATTGAGGAAAATAATCCAATATTTCATATCTGTGAGTGGCAAAAGTGTGTGACTCTTTGCTCTCAGTATCTGGTTTGACCCCCTTGTGCAGCAACATTTCCGGTAACTGTTGATGAGTCCTCCACGTCGGCTTGGTGGAGTTTTAGCCCCTCCATACTAAACAGCTTCAGCTCTGTTATGTTGGTGGGTTTCCTCCCATGAACTGCTGCTTCAGGTGCTTCCACAACATTTCTACAGGATTAATGTCAGGACTTTGACCTGGTCATTCCAAACATTACCTTTATTCTTCTTTAACCGTTCAATGACTTGTGTTCTTAGGGTCGTTGTCTTGCTGCATGACTCAGCTCACAGACAAATGGTCTGACATTTTAATTTAAAATTTGCTGGTATAATTCAGAGTTCATTGATCCATCAATGATGGCAAGCTGCTCTGGGCCCAGATGCAGTAAAACAGGCCCACACCATGATACTACCACCACCATGTTTCACAGATGGGATAAGGCTTTTATGCTGTAATGCAGTGTTTTCCTTTCTCCAAGCATAACACTACTCATTTAAAAGAAAAAGATCTGTTTTGGTCTCATCTGTCCACAAAACATTGTTCCAATAGCCTCTGGGTTTCTCTGTGTGATCTTTGCGCAAACTGCAGACGGGCAGCAGTGTTCGTTTTGGAGAGCAGTGGCTTCTCCCTGCAACCCTGCCATGCACACCATTGTTGTTCAGTGTTCTCCTGACGGTGGACTCATGATCATTAACATTAGCCACTGTGAGGCCTTTAGTTACTTAGAAGTTACCCTGGGTTCCTTTGTGACCTCACAGACTATTACACACCTTGCTCTTGGTGTGATCTTTGTTGGTCGACCACTCCTGGGGAGCGTAACAGGGTCCTGAATTTCCTCCATTTGTACACTCTGTCTGACTGTGGATGGTGGAGTCCAAACTCTTTAGAGATGCTTTTGTAACCTTTTCCAGCCTGATGAGCATCAACAGCTCTTCTTCTGAGGTCCTCAGGAATCTCCTTTGTTCATGCCATGATGCACTTCCATAAACAGTGTGTTGTGAAGATCAGACTGTGACAGATCCCTGTTCTTTAAATAAAACAGGGTGGTCACTCACCTGATCACCATCCCATTGATTGAAAACACCTGACTCTAATTTCACCTTCAAATTATCTGCTAATCCTAAAGGTTCACATACTTTTGCCACTTACAGATATAAAATATTGGATCGTTTTCCTCAATAAATAAACGAGCAAGTCTAATATGTTTTGTCTCATTTGTTTAATTTGGTTCTCTTTATCTACTATTAGGACTTGTGTGAAAAATCTGATCAGGTTTTAGGACAAATTTATGCAGAAATACAGAAAATTCACATACAGGTAAGTACACCTGACATCTCATTCAGCATCTATGTTTATTTCTCCAGCATTAAACCCACCGTAGTAGAAGTCTCCCTGCTGGTACATCATCAGCGTCTGCACCTCGCTGCCATCGTCCTTGCTGAAGGAGAAAGTTCTGGTGTTTTCTGGCCGAAACTGGTTCTTCCAGCTGCCCCTGAAGTACACAGCATTGACCAGAGTAATCCTTGTCACGCTACTGAAGTCATCGGCTGACACCAGGTCATAGATCTTACCTGTGGGATAGAAACAAAAATACAGCTGAAACAGTTCTGTAATATACAGTTCTTTAACGGTTTATTTCATTTTCTTTAAGCACTAAAGGAGCTGGATTAGTTTACATGTTTAAGTTGACTGTTTTTATATAAAATGTCTGTGCAATTTCCCTCAAATTCCCAGAGATGGCCTGGACTGAATGGACATAGATATTCTTGGTACTACAGGACACACTCAATAACAATAACAACACGGCTGCATATTATCTGGTTTTTGTTTTTATTAGGTTTTATTAGGTTCAGCCACTTTTTCAGTTTTCAGACTGTAAAACTACACACGCTGCAGATTCATACTGGATTAGAATCGCTTCACAATTATTACTGTCAGACTGTAAAACTACACACGCTGCAGATTCATACTGGATTAAAATCACTCCACAATTATTACAGTCAGACTGTAAAACTACACACACTGCAGATTCATACTGGATTAAAATCGCTCCACAATTATTACAGTCAGACTGTAAAACTACACACACTGCAGATTCATACTGGATTAAAATCACTCCACAATTATTACCGTCAGACTGTAAAACTACACACACTGCAGATTCATACTGGATTAAAATCACTCCACAATTATTACAGTCAGACTGTAAAACTACACACACTGCAGATTCACACTGGATTAAAATCACTCCACAATTATTACAGTCAGACTGTAAAACTACACACACTGCAGATTCATACTGGATTAAAATCACTCCACAATTATTACAGTCAGACTGTAAAACTACACACACTGCAGATTCATACTGGATTAAAATCACTCCACAATTATTACCGTCAGACTGTAAAACTACACACTGCAGATTCATACTGGATTAAAATCGCTCCACAATTATTACTGTCAGACTGTAAAACTACACACACTGCAGATTCATACTGGATTAAAATCGCTCCACAATTATTACTGTCAGACTGTAAAACTACACACACTGCAGATTCATACTGGATTAAAATCACTCCACAATTATTACCGTCAGACTGTAAAACTACACACACTGCAGATTCATACTGGATTAAAATCGCTTCACAATTATTACCGTCAGACTGTAAAACTACACACTGCAGATTCATACTGGATTAAAATCACTCCACAATTATTACTGTCAGACTGTAAAACTACACACACTGCAGATTCATACTGGATTAAAATCACTCCACAATTATTACCGTCAGACTGTAAAACTACACACACTGCAGATTCATACTGGATTAAAATCGCTCCACAATTATTACTGTCAGACTGTAAAACTACACACACTGCAGATTCATACTGGATTAAAATCGCTTCACAATTATTACAGTCAGACTGGAAAACTACACACACTGCAGATTCATACTGGATTAAAATCGCTTCACAATTATTACCGTCAGACTGTAAAACTACACACACTGCAGATTCATACTGGATTAGTAGATTCATACTGGATTAAACACTGTAGATTCATACTGGATTAAAATCCCTCCACAATTATTACTGTCAGACTGTAAAAACTACACACACACACACACACACACACACACACACACACACACACACACACACACACACACACAGCAGATTCATTCTGGATTAAAATCGCTTCACAATTATTACTACAGTTATTGAAGCGCAGCTTCTCTAAGTAGCATTAGTGAGCCCAGCTACAATGGCAGCATCTCCACAGATCTCTCTTCAGACCTGTTACAGATGTGAGTCAGCAATTCTGATGTATGCAGTCAGACTCAGCGGTTATAGTGGACCGACTGCAGGACATTTATAGTGTTTATGTGACAGAATCCGCTGTTGTACAGTGTCTGATATCATTTACTACTATGACCGATTCTATTTCCTGTAATATTGTTCCATATAGTGATACAGATTTTTAAATGTGGGCTATAGTGATCAGGGGACCATTTCGGACATGTCTGTCTGTCTGTCTGTCTCTCTGTCTGTCTGTCTTTCTCTCTTGCTCTCTGCTCTCTCAGCACAGGAATAAAAGGCTGATCTTTTCAGCCAGAGGAAATCTTCCCTGGGCCAAACTCTGGGATTTACTCTGCTGTCTGCTGGAGCTCCAGCCGTAACTCAGCCTGATGACAAATATTACATCATCCAGCACTCTAAACTGCTTAGCCTAATCTGGTTTAGTCTTGTTCTTTCTTCAGATTATTATAATCCTCCTGACTCCCCTTCAGACCCACAGTTCAGTCACATTTCACTTGGGGAAAATTTACACTTTCATTTTAAAGATTATTCTGTCAACAACATACAAACAGGAATTACCAACAGCGAAGCCGCTGCCACAACAAACCCCGTCTCTCTGAAATGAAAACCACGGGAAAAGCGAAGAGAGATCCTTAACTTTAATGTACATTAATGCAAAGTGATTCTATTCCAAGTCATTTTGGTCTGTTCATCATGCAGTTTTACCACAGATGGTGTAAAAAAGAAATACATTTTCTTCTCTCGTAAACATTTGTAGGAAAAATGATCTGCTGTTTTGCTGTATGTACATCATTTTTCATTGCCCATGTTTGTTGGTGATGCATAGAATGGCGCTTGAGCTGTGCTTGATTCTTTTGGCTCTGGTAGGTTGTTTATAGACTAATATCTCCTATTCTAGCATATAGGAGTCTTTATTAGTAATGTTTTTTAGACTAATATCTCCTATTCTAGAACACAGGAGCATTTACTGAGGTTGATTATGGACTAATCTCTCCTATTCTAGACTATAGGGGTGTTGATTATAGACTAATATCTCATTCTAGAGTATAGGAGTGTTTGTTAAGGTCAATTATGGGCTAATATCTCCTAGTGTACAGGAGTAATAACTTAGGTAATTTATGGTTGAATATCTCCTATTCTAGTATATAGGAGTGATTATTAAGGTTGATTATAGACAAATATCTCCTATTCTAGCGTATAGGAATGTTTATTAAGGTCGATTATGGACTAATATTTCCTGTTCTAGAATATTGGAGTGTTACTAAGGTTGATCATGGACTAATATCTCCTATTGTAGAGTATAGGGGGGTTTAGTAAGGTTAATTATGGACTAATACTTCCTATTCTAAATGAGGTTGTTTATGGACTAATATATCCTATTCTAGTACATAGGAACATTTATTAACGTTGATTATGGACTAATATCTCCTACTCTAGTGTATAGGAGTGTTTATTAAGGTCAATTATGGACTCATATCTCCTATTCTGGAGTATAGGGGTGTTTAGTAAGGTCAATTATGGATTAATATTTTCTATTCTAGTGTACAGGAGTACTAACTGAGGTTGCTTATGGACTAATATCTCCTATTCTAGTGTATAGGAATTTATATTAATGATGTTTTATACTAATATCTCCTTTTCTAGAGTGTTTATTGAGGTTGTTTATGGACTAATATCTCCTATTTTAGTGTATAGGAGCATTTATTGAGGGTTTCAAAAACACCTCCTAATGTACAGAAGCGTTTATAAAACAAAAACATAAAACACGCATTATCATGTTAGAGGTCAATGATGTTTATAATCCATTGGTATAGTACATTGCTGTGCACTCACTCTCTGTGTGGTTCTGGACCCAGGCGTTGATGTGCTGGGCCACAGCTGTTGACTCGCTGAAGTCCACTGTCTCCGCATCAGCGTGGAAATACTGCTTCATGAGGCGCAGGAACTCCGGGCTGAAGTGCACCCCCGTCTGCAGGAACAGGGAGTTGGCCAGACGAATGACGTACTGCGCTTCATCTCCAGACAGAGCCTGGCTCAGGTTCCTCAGCATGGAGAACTCTTCATCTGCACACAGGTATTTAATAACACAGTTTTACTGGTAAGATAATACAGTGTCGGAAACCACAGTTACACTTATTTTGAGTGGTTGTTTTTAGATGAAGAAAAACACTGACCAGACTAACATATCAAGAGTATATCAATGATGCAGTTGTGGTGAATATTTGTTTATAATCCGAGTTCAGTTGTTTTTCACTTTATTTGTCCAAGTTCAGATCTGTAGATTGTTGAACTGAGAGGAACTGAACATTAACAGGTTCAATACAGACCATCAACATCCTCAACCAGCTGATAGACACACTGACACCATCCTGTACCTGGAGCTTCACTGGATTAGGGTTTAGGTTAAGGTGAAGGCCAGAGGATTAGGGCCAGAGTTAGGGTGAGGATTAGGATTAGGGCGTCAGGTTTTGGGTAAGATCGGGTAAGGTTAGGTTTTGCCTAATGGAAGTACCGTATAAAGTCTACTTAGTTTAACTTATAGACAATACATCTATTTATTGTAAATAATGCATCAATGGTACATCTTCAAGGTATTTACCTCAGTGTGTTCAGATGATGCTAATTCACTGATATGTTATTGATACTCTGTTGAGAGTTTATTAATCATTTACAAAGGAACGCTCCAAATAAAGTGTTACGAAACTATGTTTTTTTTTTCTTCTGATTTTGAAAAGACTCACACAGCAAAATACATCACCAGATGGAAATACGAACAGAAAATACAACTCCCTCTTTCTAGAGCCCTCTCACCCGACTGATGTAACTCACTCATCCTTCCAGCTTCTGAGTAAAATTTGTCTGCCTACCATAATACCAGTATGGACCCAGCTTCTAATGTGTTTGTCTCCCGCTATTACTACTGATCCACCGCCTAAAATAGATCATCTAGGGCTGAATGAAATATGAATTTCTGAAATCAGACAGCTTGTCATATATCCTGGTAGAGGTCTGCAACAAGGGACCGTCCACAATATCTCGCAGCGCGGGACTAATTGTCAGAAACCAGCCCACTGCAGGTGAGAGCGAGAGAAAGCATGCATAAAGAGAAGTCCCACAAATTAAAGAATACAACAATCACTAAAACATATAAACAATAAAAAAAATGATAAAAGTAAAACAATTAAAATGAATGAAGTCATTCTAAAGAGTTGAGAAGCAGCCGATCACATGAACAACACGCACATTCTTGTGGCTTATGGAGACGGTGGGGCCTTCAGGCCGACGGCCACAGCTGCCCAGCAAAACAGCAAAAATAACTGCTAATAACTATTGCACAACTGTTAACGTTGGTTACTGTTTACAGTGGAGGAACATGCACCACTGCATTGTCAACCTCACAGTATTCACGCAATTTACTTCTTATTCTTATACTGCACATTATTTTTATTGTTTTTAGTATATTTTTATTTTATTTTATTCTATTATTTATCCTTACTTTCTATTTAAGCATCTGTAAATACTGTAAGACAATACTCTGCTCCTGTTTATTACTGCTGCAATAGACGAATTTCCTTCTGGGATCAAAAAGGTGATCTATTTCTCTATCTATGTATCTCTCTATATCTATCTATCTATCTATCTATCTATCTATCTCTCTATATCTATCTATCTCTCTATGTCGTCCGTCCGTCCGTCCGTCCGCCCACCCGCCCGCTCAGGGTTTCTTCTCTGCCTCCGTTGACTCCACACACTACAGCTGCCAGTTTAGAGAACCAGCCCTGTGACCGGAAGGTCGCCGGTTCAATTCTCTGACCTGACCGTACGTGACTGATTTCTCCTTGAGCAAGGCACCTAACCCCCAACTGCTCCCCGGGAGCTGTGGATAGGGCTGCCCACTGCCCCCTAGTGTGTATGTTGTGTTTCACCGCACGGATGGGTTAAATGCGGAGGTGATATTTCCCCGTTATGGGACTAATAAGGGTCACTTAATCTTAATAGACTAGCACCCACGTATGTCCTTTTGCTCTTTGTTGCTGGTCTGGTCTGGCTTTGATAACCCTTTCGTTAACTCGCTCCGTGTTCATACATACGGTTCAAACTTTTACATCGTGAGCGTTTGGTTACTTCATCAAATATTACACAAAATTAAACCTGTTTAAACCATCAGTCTGTGATGATATGTGTTGTTTTTGGAGCAGCGCTGGAACTTTAATTCCCAATTTGGTGACTCAGTTTGGTTTTAATAGCTCTGTTGTAATGAGAGTGTGCGGTGGTTAACAGAACAGCTGAGAGCGAGACAGAAACAGCCCAGTGAGGCCTGTTTATTCCTCCTGTCTGCTCTTTCTGCAGGTATGTTGAGTTATACAGCTGTCAAATGGAAATTAATTTCATACTGTTCGGTAAATGGGAAGCATTTATACCGTCACGTCGGCAGAGAGCAAAACACAGAGGAGGCCATGATGTGCTGCTCTTTATTAAACATACCAGTAGAAAGGCCATAATCGGATTTCTGCATTTAACTGATTATTCAAATGGTCATGTGAACAGCATACGCTGATTTCTTAGATTGGATTGAGGTTTCTCAGTGCATATAAACTCTTACTCTGATTTCTTTTGGATTTCTCAGTCTGCACATGTGTGAAAACAGACTGAGGTACCAGAAATAAGCAGCAGCGTCGCCGCAGCATGAAGTTTGAGTTTTACGTTATGTTTACGTCACGTCTTCTTCTGTGAGTTTACTGGTTGGTTGTAAAGCAGAAATCCGATTACTGCCTGACTCATGTAGACCCGGAGTTTCCCCAGTCTGTGACTGCTGTGGTTTGCGTTCTTACCTTCTCTGAAGTGGCTGTACCCCACAGCCTGTCTGATCTCCTGCAGGGAAGACCCCCTGGCCCCCAGCTCCACCATACCAAGCGCCAGGGCCACGCTCAGCGGGGAGAAAATAATGTTCTCCTCCCCCCCGACCATCTGCAGCTGGTGGTACAGTCTGACCGAAAACTCCGCCGTCACATCCTCAGGAACGTCCACCGCCCGGCAACCGGACTCACATAGCAACAGCAACGGCACCAGACTGAGCACCAACATGGCAAAGAAGGGACGG